ACACGGGGCCGTATTGTTGGTTTGTTATTCCTTGCTCAGGCGAGAGGTAACCACTTTCCAATCCTTTGTACATGCTTTTGTGGTATTGTGAGTAGATTTATGTTTTGTGCTCCGTGTAACAAATTGTGTTTAGATTGTATGTTGTATATTGAAAAGGAAAACTGTCTTGTGGGGTTTCGACTGATATGGGATGAATTTTTAAACTTGCGAAAGATAGGCCACTGAAAGAAGTTAATTGTGAAATGATCATTTACTCTTTGATTACGATTTGAGCATGATGCCTGAATTGGGAATTGGTGAGAGTTTTGATAGTTACTACCACGTGGTAAGGCCTCCATTAATGTATGATGGTTGGCTCTTTATGTCCCTCATAGTGAGGGATAGGCCTTTTGGCTCCCTACGTCCCCCAGAATGAGAGATAGGCCTTTTATGACTCCTTACGTCCCCCATAGTGAGGGATAGGCCGGGTTCAGTTGTTGAAAATCCCCCAAAGTGAGGGATATGGCTGATGGGATTGCATCATTGCACTTGCATAACTTGTGTGGCTATCATTTATCATATTACTTGTGAACTGCCCTACTTGACACCTCACGAGCACCTATTTAGTAGTACCTTGAATTGGAAAGATTGGTTACTAGGACGTTTGTCTCACCCCGTAGTTTACAATGTTTTCAGGTGAAGACTCTAGGCGTGTGCCATCGGGAAGAGACGCAGAGGCTTGAGCTTGGTTAGCTTTAGGCCTCTAGCCCTTGTATATGTATGGCTAGTTTTATATTGCCACATCTAGGGCCCCTTTTGAAATATTTTAATTACCCGGCCTTATTGTAAACTGGAGGGAATGTTATCTCCTTATTTTGGTTGGCCGGAGGCCATTTATAGTGTCTTATGAAACTCTGATTTATTTTGTTGGAAACCATTTGGATGGGCTGATGTGATGTCTTTTGTTACCCGGGTCGGAGGCTCGGAGGCCTAGTAGATGTAAATGAACGATTTTAGTTGCATACAATAGAGTTTGAGTTTGAACCGAGTTTAAATGTTAATTTAAAAAATTATGCAAATTTATTTCTACTATGGTGGTTTGTTGTAACAGCTTTCCTTTTCTACCGGAGTAGTGATTTTATGACGAGTTTATAATGTTTTGAGGTTAAGGGTTTTACACCCATTCTCTCCCTTTGCTTAATACTTGTGAACAAGCATGTTTGCAGCAAAATCTACATTTGGAGCATCCTCAACAATTCATTCATATGCATGACTGGGACATTCTTTTGTACAGATATAGAAAGGCCCACAAAAACTATTGCCATGGTATTCTATGTTATCAAGGCAAACCCCTGAAAGAATTTTTATGGTAAAACCTCGCATTTGCAAGGCAAATATGTCTTTCCAAATGTCTTGGGGTATTATTATTCTAAATAAAACAATCCACCATGTTGAACTTTCAGGCCAAACCGTTGCTGCGTATTCATTGTGTCAACAAGAGATTCATTGATAATAAATTCTTGCTCTTCTTCATGATTATTCTTATTATAAGTTTAATATTATTTCTAAAGATTGTTTTCTTCATTTTAGGGTCTATTTGGGTCAGCAACGCTGACCCAAAAGCAGCTTAAAATGAGCTTAAATTTTAAAATAAGCTGGGTTGCAAATCGGACCTGTTTGGCAAAGCTTAAAAGTAAGTGGGCTTATGTTAAAAAGCCTATCTGAACGTCCAATTCCCATAAGCTGCAAGAAGGAGCTTATGACTTAAACCAGAAGAGCTTTTGGCGGGAAAAAAAAAAATCAGAAGAGCTGTTGCCCGTTCTGCGATGTCACGTCCTTTTTTCCTCTCCTATTTGCCTTTTCCTCTCACAAGCATCATTTTCGTTTCCATTTTGGTTTATTAAAACTCAAAAAAATATTTTTTGATTTTTTAAAAAATTTAAAATTTAATCCACTCATTAAATTTTATTTCTTCATATTATTTTATTTTATTTTTATTGTATTGTCTTAAATCAATTTTTCATCATGTTTTATTATTTATTAAAACTCATGCCCATTTTGGTAATTTTTCAGCCAAACTTACTTTTACTCAACTATAATCCAAACAAGCTTCTACCAATCTCACTTTTGTAAACTAGTTTTTCTGAACTCTAATCCAAACACAATTCGGCTTATCCAATTTAACTTTTACCAACTTTACTTTTCTATAAGCTATTTTTTTTATAAGCTGCTTTTCCAATCGCTGATCCAAACAGGCACTTAATACACTTTCTGTTGATTTACTTTTAGCATGTACTCTGTAAACTTTGCTTCATTTTAATATCATTTTGTTATTGGCTCAAGAAAAATACATTGTCAACTTTTTTAGGAAAAAATAAAATTATCTTTAAAAGAAAGATAAATGGGAAAATCGCATAAAGAAAAGACTGCTGAAATTCAGAAATTATATACAAGGACCCATTCGCAAAAATTGTTCTCAAAACCTATACTATTATTGTCAAAACACATACTAATGTTGTAACGGGTTCGTACTTGTAATTTTTCCATTTCGGTGGTCTTTTTTGGCAATTTTCACAAGATAGATTATAACTTTTATAAAAATTTAGAATTGCTTAACTTTTTCAAGCGCGTACATTTTTCTCAGAAATAAAAAAGTTGTGTAATGATTATGAATATATATAATTATTTACATAAATTTTTGGTGCTCTGCGTTCTTAAATTTAACGAGTGGTGCTTAGAGTTGAAGAGAAGTAAGAGAGGAAAAGTTGAAACACTTTGTGCGATGCATATGCCCTCCGTGAAACTCTCCCACCCTCTTGACTTCTCTCCTTTACAACTCTATAAAGACAAAATCCAATGCATCACCTTTGTGCATAAAGTGAATCCATTCATATGATATAAATCATTTTGTTTTATAATCTAAAATTATGGAACATTAATTATTTTATTTTAAAATTTTTCTTATTGAATTTATTAGAGAGTGTGTGCTTTTGAAAGAAAAATTATAGGATTCATTAAGGACAATAAAACAAAACGATTTTTAAACAATTTTATCCATGAAATTAACTGTTTTTTTTTTAAAGTTTCAATAGAATAGTTAAAAGTAAATTATGTTAAGAAGGGAAAAGAGTGTTCTTGGTCCAATCATTTTATTGGCATCAAGAATTAGGTACTTAGAATTTTATGTGAAGAAATACCTATACTCTTCCCATTCTTAATGTAATAGTTACTTTATTAATTTGAATAAATTAAATAATCTAAATAAATTGCTCAAGAATTGGTCTCCTTAAAATACTCCATAAAATACTCCATGTAATAAATTATATATTAATTTATATTTAGAATTGAAATCAACTTCTAAACAAACTCTTATATTTAAGGTTGGAAAGTACTATTTTTGTGTGGATGCGTGGCTTATATATTTTACAACCACATGATCACACACAATCTAGCTTAGGCAAGTGAATAACCATTGCTCCAAGATATCATGAAACAAGGCCTCCACATATCAAATTTCTTTTTTTTGGGAATTAAAGTTTAGGTAAGTAATTGGGTCATAGGGGCTCACTAACACTAAGACATACTTACAAACATCAATAAAGTAATCACATTGGTACGTAGCAGGATTTGACCTCACAACTTTATATGTTATAAACCAAGTTCTAACTAATTGAACCAACTCTTATTAGTTCCATATATGAAATTTATACCAATATCCTTTTTCCTTATTTATGTGCCAATCGCACTTCCATTATACAGATGTGGGAATCATTCTCCCCAAACTTGTTTGCTTCTCCCATTGTAAATATTCTATCATGACTCCCAACAAAGAGGATGGTCCCCAAGTCTCGCATGTAAATTCAATTCCTATGCTTACTTTGAAAATGATTTGTTTGGAGTTAGGACTAGTTAATTTAATCACTTAACTATCTTGATTTAAATATAATAATTAGGTAGATAATTTATAAACATTGAGAAAATTAGTTAAATCAGTAAGTTGTGATTAATGTAAATTAATTTTTCTAAAATACCTCATTTCATCATTTGTATTAAAAACTATCATCACTGATTAAAAAAAAAAATTCTTTAACCTACTCTTACATTTAGAATAAAAGAAAATACATACTTATCCCCAATTCCCTCTTTATTAATCTTTTTCATTTTTTTTTTGGATTTGCTCAATTTTATTTCTCTTCTTTGATATTAGACTCAATTTTTGTAGCTCTTACCAACTTTTGCACTTTATTATTATTATTTTTCAATAGGACGGAAAGGTTTGCACTTTATTTTTTTTAAGGCATCTAACCTATGGAATAGGAAGGAAGAAAACTTTTTTTCATAGGGATCAAAATACATCAAAATAATAAAAGTAACAATATCAAGTCACAGTATCTAAAAATAACAAACACGAGTTAAAGTAATATGAGATCTTTCAACTCTGTCTCATATGTTAATTTAACACAAGGGAAAGAGAAACAAAGGGGGGAAAAGAAGTGTCATGATACAATATGTTAGCCGAAAGCTTGCTGGTACCACGTCATGGAATGCTACTTCTTGACGTAGTAACCTTGCAATCTTTATAGTTCTGCATTGGAGAAGAAAGGAAATTCGTGATCCAATAAAAGAATTCTTTAGACATAATAAACTACTATTGTATAGTACTTCTCCGGTCCTTAATATAAAATCCAATTGTTGAGTTAGTTTTGATCTTAAATATAAGATCCATTTCTCATATTTATCAATTTTCTCTAAATTACCCTTATAAATACTCCCTCAACCATAATCAAGTAAAAAAAAAAGAGGGGTATTAAGAAAGATGATTATGGTATTTTAGAAAAAACGTATCCATTTCTTATAACTAACTAACTTACCTAATTTTCTTAATCTAATCAAATTAGTTAAATGAATCTTATATTAAAAATCAGAGAAGTAATTTATTATGATTTTAAAAATTCATAACGGATATTTTAAAAGAATTATTCTTCTTATACTTGTGATTTTTTTTTGACAAAATTAAAAAAAATAGAGTTACTTTACATATATTTAATTATTCGGCAATACTTTTCACATCACCCACCCCTAAATCCTAATAATCTACATATTACATACAAACAACTGAACAGCTCTTGAAAACCCCACAGGGGATGGAATCCACTGTGCTTCAACACCCACTAGTTTCTCTGGTTCAGCCTATCCCAGAGCGACGCGCACTGCCTCCGCGCGAATCCCACGCGCTGTTTTTCCAAATCATACACCACCTCAAACCCCTGTTGCTGGTAATTCCCAAGCGTGGCCCCAGGTCCTTCGCTGAGTTCTGCATCATCTCCACCGTTCATCAGCATCAGGCACCCCACCCTCTTCTTCCTTTTGTTCCATCTCGACCGTCAAAAAATTCGTAAAAATAGTTCTTTCTAGGCAACACCACATCTGATCCCTTCCCCTCAAAACGCAGCGTTACAGTCGGAACTGCTGTTTCGTTCTTCGCCTTCATATAATAGCAGGGTCCCAATCCAGTTTTGTCTTCAATCTCACTCGCACGCTCGAGAACTCGTCCAACTCGGTGATCAAACTCGGCCACCACAGAGTTATATAAACTCGCTGGCAACATTGTGAACGTCGTGCCGGAGTCAACAACCATACCACCATTTCCCCTCTGGTCCAACCTCCTCAGCATCTCCGGTGCCGGAATAGTCTTCTTCCCCACAGAGATCCCCGCGAGACCAACACTGTAAAAATACTGGTGTTTTGGATTTTCAAGCATCAGCGTGTATACAAATTGAACCAGTTCGCCGTCAGTTCTCTTCTCATCCTCCTCGTAACGACCAAGAATGAGTGGACTCGGTCTGCGAACTCGCTGTTTATCAAATGAGTGAGATATCAAACAGTAGGAAAATTGATTCCCTAACTGGGGAGAGAACGTCGCCAGCTGAGCGGGAAGAGATAGCAATCCGCGACCGAATCCGGCGACTCCGACAGGTTCGCCGAGCGTGGTGTGCGCACATCCAAAGGTGAAATTCCGGAGAATCAGGGAAGAAATAGAGACGGAATCGCGATAGAGACGAGCGATCAAGCTTCCATCGCCATAGGCGTAGTAAAACGGAGGGCAAGCGAAAGAAGAACAATCGGAGGTCTCGATGGATTCCAAGGGACACCGAGAAATCGCACAGAGATCGGAGGACGAGAGGGAGGTGTGAGCGGCGGAACATGCAGGGGATTTACACGAAACTTTTTGAGTCTGAGAGATATTAGGTGGTTTGGGAAAGAGCGAAGGATTCGATTTTCCTTCACAGAGTATACACTCAAACGGAGCACAAGGGAACCAGACGAGGTCGCTGCCTGTGTCCATGTACAGAGTTACTGGTCGGGGAGGGTCATTGCCGAGGTTGAAGGAGAGCGTGTAATCGCTGCCGGCGGAGAGAGGCAAAGAGAGTTGTTGTTGTTGCCGGCGGTGGTGGCGGTGGTTGTGGAAGCGAGCGGCGGAGCGAGAGGAGGAGGACTTGAGGAGGTGGTGGGTGCTGTTGAATTGAGTGGGGGAAAGGGAGTGTGATAGGGGCAATAGAAGTAATTCTGAGAAGGAGGGAAGACATGAAGAAGAGATTAAGAGGAAGAACAAGAGGAACAGTGAGGAAGAAGACATAGTGAAGGGGCCAGAAAACAGAGTAATGACTTCAAGAACAGGGTATCAGAGAGAGGACAGAGTTTTTAAATTTGGTCAGAAAGAGAAACCGAGGAGGGAGAATTTATAAGGAGGGCGAAGGCCCAGGTGGGTGTAAGTTGGGTTCTTTGTGAGGACAATATATACTTAGAAATCATTTTGGAAGAGGTTTTTTTTTTTTTTTAATCAACTGGTATAATAATCATTTGAAATTTGTAAATATGGAATGCGCCTGCCCTGTTTTGTGATATTGATCTCTGTTTTTCTTTTCCCATGGTAGTTAGTGATGTGGGAGAAATTTGATTTCTTTGAGCAAAGTTTAAAAGGTTAGAACCTTATGAGAGTAAAAATTATGGCTGTAAAGTGATCCTCAATGGCTTGGCTCCTATATTCCTCATCAGTCATTAGCATTAGAAGACCACCTCTTATTTTAAACCCAATGATTTTAACTATTTTTTTAATTATAGATAATGACTCAAGATTACAAGTAGATCAAACTCGTGACTTATTGTTTCCAAAAAAAAAACACTTTCATATCAAGTTATAAGGCTTGAATTTTGGTTTTTAGTGTTGGGCATTTTGTTCATGAGTGCTCTTTAAGCCCTATGAGTTAGTGTTATGACAGGAGCCGATCAAACTTTTTATTTTATAAGACATCTAATCTTAATGAGTTGTATTTAAATAGCCAAGCACTATAAAACCCAGTAAAGAGTAGTTTTTCAAAATATGCTTTTACCTCTACGCATAACTCGGGAAGTGTGGTTGAGCGGTTGGGGCTCATCCTCCCTTAACCAAGTGTCGAGGGTTCGATCTTCATTTTGGGCATGAAAAAACTTTAAAATCCTAGGCCAGTTGTCCCATCCTTTGATGTGCTTACAAGTCAGTGAAAGGTTCTTTATGAGGACAATATATTGCATTTTCTATTTTTTATTTATTTTTATTTGTTTTGTGTTTGTGCCACGGAAATCAAGTGATTCCTTCTTTGTTTTCCTTTCGTTTTCTTTATTTTAACTTTGAAAGTATTGACGGCGAGGAAGAGATGTTTTGAATCAATTAATGAAATTTATTTTTCAAAAATATCATCAGAAAAAAATGAAATGGAGTTTTTTAAAACATCAGAAAAAGGTTTTCTATTTTGTCATTTATACGAATAAAAAATCTTATGATATTAAGAACTTAACAGGGCCCTCTCTTAGCAAAACAAAGAAAGAGAGGGTCCTGATCTGCTGGTGGATATCTGATGCTTTCATAAAAAATAAAAAAAAAGTAGCTGTAACTTTTTTTCATTAAGACCAATGTTTGATTATTTAGCTTCTTATCGCGTAGAAGAGTTTTTCCCAGTTTAATTGGATGATACTCAACTTTAATTATGATAGTACTATATAGGGGTGTGCAAAAATCTGATGGTCCGGTCCAGTCCAGTCTAGGTGAATTTTTTATTTTTCAATAATTTGTAATTTAGATGGTGCCTTTAATTGTTTTTAATGTTTTTAGATATTTTTATGTATTTATGATGAAGTCTTAATATTTTAGGACGAGTTTCATATGATTATAGGTATTTTTTATTGTCTTAATTGTACTTATCATGTTGAAATCTTATTTCTCATAAAGAAAAAAATTAAAAAAGAAAAAAGAAAATTGAACAACTGGACTGCCTGGACCAGTCCATCAGTCCGGTAGACCAAATCCAGTCCAACCCGACCTCGGGTCATCACTGGACTAGACCAGACCACAGACTATCAAACCCAGTCTGACCAAAAAATCAAACTAGACTTCGGGTTGGGTTTTGATCCGGTCTAATCTGTCCATTGTACAGCCCTAGTACTATACATGAAAGTTCACTCCCAGAGCTTTTGGTTAAATATTTGCATTTACCAAAGCGTGGGTAAGGACAGTGAAAGGGGATGAGGATGAAACAGCTAAAGTAAGCATTGACATGTTGAGTCATGGCAGTGCAGTTTGGGGCCCTCTTTTAATTGGTGACGGCTGGGCAATCAAATGCGACGCCTCTTTTGAAATCTTACTCATCTTTCGGTCTTCCAAACGAATCTTAGATATTATTACCCCGCATTCTTATATATTCTTAATATAAAAATTAATTAACTAATTTAAATAGATTTAAAAAGTTAATCAAGTTAATTATTATAATAAATAAATATTATCTTTCGTAAAATTTCTTTTCTCATCATGTGTATTAATTAGAACTATTATTTGACGAACATTTAAATGTATAACTACTATAATAACTATTTTTAAAAAAAAGATAAATATGATCTTACATTTATGACCAATTAAATGTCAAACTAGCTTTTATAGTACATTTTATATATTAGGTACATGATTAAATATACTAACCAACATTTTTAGGACTTCAACATTATCCATCTAAAGCAACAATAAAAATTTCTTCCTAAAGTATCCTTTCTCATCATGTGTATTAGTTAGAATTATTATTTCACGAATCTTTAATGTGTGTAACTACTATAATAACTATTTAAAAAAATATGATAGACAAGATAAATTAAAATATTATATTTAAGAATAAATTGAATTTTAAACTAGCACTTATGGTACATTTTGTATATTAGGTACATGACTAAATATATCGACCGACATTTTTAGGACTTTAACAATTATCCATCTAAAGCAACAATAAAAAATGTCAAAAGAAATTGAAAACGAGATGTGTTCAATGATAAACTAAATTAAAGCCAAAAGTTTTAGCATGTGTTCTTTGCATTTTGACATTTCTTATTCTTTTGAAACTAATTTATTTCATTGATAGGAACTTTTCATGATACGTCATTTTTTTTAAATTTATTCATTCCTACTCAAAAAAGGTTAGACTTCAAGGTCACATTTTTCTCACACAAATTTGTCAATTTCGATTTTTGGCAAGTTTAATCCATCTCTCAACCAATCAACCAATATGCTAGTTAATCAGCCACTTTGACTGACTAGTTGTCTAACCAACCCATTCTGATCTCTCAAATAATTAATTTGAGAGGTTTAGCTGCTCAAAATTATATTAATATAGTAGTAAAATGGGAACTAAACAATGTATGTAGTTTAAATTTTACAGTGAAACATATCCGCGTTATCACTTATTTCTTTTAAATAATGTTTCGAGTATGAGTCTCATGTATGAAAAAAATTACAACTTAAGTAGCTTTGCGGCAACATGATTTGATTCAACTTAACTCAGATGCTTCATCTTAGCTCAATGGATCTTTCAAAAGCAATTAATATTAATATTACCAAGAAAACATATACAGTTAATTGAATCAACAAGGGTTGGTTCCAACAAAGGAGACTAATATTTTATAACGTGATGAACTAAGATTCGAGTTCCTGTTAAGAAATGTGTTCTCGTTTAGCGTCTAATCTCAAATGGAATTACTTCTAATTAAAAAAATTCCCTGTATTTAATATATACACATACATATAAAGGTTTAATTGAAAGGGGGGAAAAAAAAAGGAGATGATGTCGTGAGATGCGGATGATGTTTTGGCGCTTTAGCAAGACAATATTCCATTTTATTTGAGCCTCAACATTCTGAACAAGAAATTCACAGTCACTCTTTGGACATCTCAGGTGTGCGTCCTCATCATCATATTCATTTCCCAAAGCTTTGTGCATCGCTTTCGTTTCTTGATTTCAGTCTTGGACTTTTCGTCTTTGTTCATTGAATCTTTAAGGCACAAAGCTAATGTGGTTTTGTATTTGGCGCATTTCTTTGTCAGTTCCAGTCTGTAAATCATGTTTATTTTCTTTGTTTGTGAAATTTCATCTATATTTATTTTAGTTAAACATTGGATGGTTAAGGAAATTATGAGTTATATATGTTAGATCATTTTGAGAAGTTAGAGGTTGTGACATTTGTATCTATTTCGAAGTTTTAACTACACTTCGAATTGAACATTTACAATTTCATCTTGACATTTGGACACAAATTTTACTGCCTTCCCATTAAATTCAAATGGAGCCTTTTGGTCTTTTCGGGGACATCCGATAAAATTAGAATGAAACAAATGCACTCTCTGGAGGCCATGATACCTGCTCTTTCATTTTAGAGGAAGGGGGACAAATTTTTCTTTCTTCCCCTCTATTTTGTCTTAACCAAACAAAGTTGAAAAAATAGCACCTCTTTTCTTTTTAATCAAACACAAATTCTCTTATTGGAAGCCTGTTCGAGACACTATCTAGCGTCTCTCATAATAGAGATTCAAACCTTAGTTTATTATATTGTAAATGACTAATTTTTTCTACCAGACTTAATCCCTGTTGATTATAAGCCCCTTCATATATGTATACAAATATATGCATGTATAGGTGTATATTCAAACTAATTTTATCTGATGTGAAACTTCTTTCACATGTTACTTTCAAGAATCTCCTCAAAAGTCACCTTAATGAGTTGTAATGACATTGGATGGTTAAGGAAATTATGGGTTATATGTTAGATCATTTTGAGAAGTTAGAGGTTGTGACACTTGCATCTGTTTCGAAGTTTTAACTACACTTTGAACTGAACATTTACAATTTCATCTTGACATGTGGACACAAATTTTACTGCCTCCCCATTCAATTCAAATGGAGCCTTTTAGTCTTTTCGGGGACATCTGGTAAAATCAGAATGAAACAAATGCACTCTCTGGAAGCCATGATACCTGCTCTTTCATTTTAGAGGAAGGGGGACAAATTTTTCTTTCTTCCCCTCTATTTTGTCTTAACCAAACAAAGTTGAAAAAATAGCACCTCTTTTCCTTTTAATCAAACACAAATTCTCTTATTGGAAGCCTGTTCGAGACACTATCTAGCGTCTCTCATGATAGAGATTCAAACCTTAGTTTATTATATTGTAAATGACTAATTTTTTCTACCAGACTTAATCCCTGTTGATTATAAGCCCCTTCATATATGTATACAAATATATGCATGTATAGGTGTATATTCAAACTAATATTATCTGATGTGAAACTTCTTTCACATGTTACTTTCAAGAATCTCCTCAAAAGTCACCTTAATGAGTTGTAATGACAGTGGCTGCAATAATATTGATAATGATATACGAATTTCTCTTTCGAAATTGGTAATGATTTAGTGAATTGTAACAAAGTTGATAATGATACTCAAATTCCGGTTCAGCATTTTGGTGATGAATGGATGGTTGGTCTTCTGGCCTTCTGTCGCATCACATACATGCCGGAAAATGTCTCTAACGACGTTTCGTTTTGGTAGGAAAATATAAAACGGCAAAAAACTTCAAACAAAAAAAAAATGTTGAAGTGACATCAACCTATGATGTTTCAGCTAGAAAAGTCAGAAGAAAGTTTTCGTAAACAGAGTTTGGCTTAGCTAAGCTTCAACTTAGGATCAATAATTTTCGAGGATTAGGTATAGAAAGTACCCTAATTCGTCCAAAGTTCCTTTCGTGCTGACTGGTTCTTGAAAAACATATCGATTAATAATTAGTTCATTCTTTCGGATAAGGATGTATACAATTTTTACCTTTTTTATTTTTTCAATCCAAGACCTGATCTGCGGCCTGCTGCCCCTTTTTTTTTTTTTTTTTAATAAGAATTCTCATACTACCTCAGTCTTTTAATATAAAATCTAATTAACTAATTTTAAAAAAAATTAAAAAATTAGTTAAGTTAGTTAAATTAGTTATTTGTAGTAAATGGATGTTATCTTTCCTAAAATACTCTTATTAATCATATGTGTTTGAAGTACAAAATGATAGTAACTCTTTGATATATCCAACTACTATAGGGATTATTTGAGAACAAAATAAATAAATATTGGAGATAAAGTGAATTAAGATAAATATAAGACTAAATTGAAAGTTAAAATGACTCTTATACTAAGGAGTGGAGATAGTATTTTTTGTCCCTTTCTTTCCATTCAATCCTCTTTTGATTTTTTTTTTTAATTTTTTTCAATTCTAAGCAGTAGAAGGCATAATTTAACTAAAAATTCGCTATCCAAGTGAAAATTGGAATAAGAGCCATGCAACAAAAACTCGAATTCTTTCCTTTGTTCTTTTTGTTTTTTGGCCATCAACTAGAATTCTTTCATACGAAATATGAAAATTCAATGTATTAATCAATTTATGGGACCCTATCATTCATATAACTAGTATTCATACCTTAATGGACAGTAGGTATCAGAATTCGGATCCACTCAATTTGCAGTTCTCTCAGTTTGTCTCCACTCAAAATTTATTGAATACATCTTACATTTTTAAATTTATCATTGTTATAGATGTGTAATTTGAATAAAACAGGGAATAAATAAATATAGCATCCCCAGCTTAGGAAGAAAAAAATTCAAGCCAAATGTTAAAAATTAAAATTACGACAAATTAAAAATACTGCAAATTAAGATAGTCACAATTCTAGGTATTATAATAGCATTCAAAAGGACTAGATTTCCTTCACCGTATGATGCGAGAAAAATGGAGAAGAGAAAAATTTTAATGAACTCAATTTCAAAAACTGAAAAAACGGAGTATTAAAATTTTAATTAAAAAAAAAAGATGTAAACTAAAATAATAATAAAAATTGAAAACTTTTGACCCAACTTCTTCAATTTTTTAAAATTGAACTTGTTAAAATTTTTCTTCTCCTTTTCTTCCCCCCATTTCTCTCATACCAAAAGAACCCTTAACAGATTCAAATCCTATAAGCAAATTTTTTTAAAAAAAAAAAACTAAGAAAGCCTCTTTCCAGCTGACCTTAAACCTAGCTCGGTAGTATGAATGTTAATTGAAAAATTAAATAACTGTAATAAAGATAAGACTCATAAGTGTCCAAATCCAATGAATCATTTATGACGGGAACCGATTCGGCAAAATCACCCTCTTAATGTCCTTTGAATGCTTCTCGAGCCCTTGGGCCCTACTAAAGCGGCATTTAAATATGATTTATCCACTAATTAACTTCAGACCACCCATAATGTTCTTGACTCTTCAGCATAGACGTAACAAATCCGTCAGCCAAAAGGGATTATTGATGCAGTCTATCAGTGAGCATTTTCAAAGGTCTCTGTTTGAAATCACGTTTAGAATCACTTATAAATATGTTTCACAAGACAATTTCTCTCACATACTTATCTTGTATTTCGTAAATCATGATTAAACCTTAATAAATAAGCTTAGATTACTATAATATCTTCTGGCAAAGCATTGAATTACGGAACCCCCAAAATTAACCAAGAAAGAGCCTTGTTTCCCAACTACAATACCCCCCCCCCTTTTTTTGGTTACATCAACTACAATAATTTTAACTTCCCCTGTTCTGACAAAATGGTACAACTCTACATGACCTCCAACCAATTCCCACAGAAAACCAACCAGGAAAGAGCCAGCCACTCACCTTCATCCTCATCAATGCATTGCAAAGCCAGTTTTGCCTGAGTTATGAAGTCAAATCAATATTTACGCCTTTTCCTCTTCCAACTTTTCTGTCCATTATTATTTTTGAACAAAAGAACGACATAATCAAGACATCAATTACAAATGAGTTTCAGTTAATTTTACAACCGATGGCAAAAAATTATGGAAGAGGCACCTCTTTTACTCAAATGTATGAGAAAGATGAAGAACCTCAAGCACGTAAACCATTGAAAACTGCAAGAGGCAAATTACGTTATAATGCACATGTTGATCTTCAAATCCTGTGGGCGCCGCGGGGGATCAATAACTCTTCATAATCATCAACCAGGACCTGCTTCAAATTTTCTATTAGCGTGGTTTACACACACACACAACATTTTAACCTTCAACAAAAGTAAGCTGTTGATACCTTGTATTGGTTGCCAGCGTAAGAGTACTCTACATACAACTTTTTAGGTTCTCCTGGGCATGGATCACAAAAGCCCATGATGCCTGATTTTTTTACACCTTCGTGAAGCTGCATCAAGAAATTGAACATATTTTAACCAAAAAAAAGGATACTGAAGATTATGTTATTTAAGAATACAAATTGTCAGTCTCCAGGTACATTAGGTGCGTAGGCATTAAATTTAAACCGTCAAGGTCTGAAGTGTCAAATCACTGTCCAATATGAGTATTTTCAACGAGTTAGACCCAAACATGACTAATTTCCAAGTGTCTGAGCTTCACAGAATCCACATCTACACTTAACCATTAGCATGATGAGTAAGCAACCACCTGCGGGTTGCGCTCAACACGAAATTCCATTGTAAGAGGCCCAAATATCGTTCTCCAAAATTCAGAATGAACATGCAATCTTACATGCATGGAACAAAATAAAATATTTATTTGCCCATCCTTGGAAACCCGCTGCTAGCTATGGTCTCATGGATAAAAGCTTTTGTCAGGCTGCGTTATACATGTAAGATTATGCACTTAATGCAAAATCCTTGCTGGCTTGAAATACCTTCCAAAGGTTAGTATGGCTTCACTGAGCTAAGAGAAAGCAGACGCTTTGGATTACTTGCCCTAGATTTTGGAGTTATTTAAACGAACAGGGATACATGTATGTAATCTATCAAAATCAAATGAATGCAAGTGAGTATTACGGGAACTCGAAAATTGGAGCCCTGTTTTGAACATATAAATTCAACTAAACATATCACTATGCGAGTTCCTCTGTAGTCTTCACATTGTTTCACAAAAAGTCAGTTCTCATGCATCATGCCTTATCAAAGATACGGCCCACATCTTGTAATTTATAATGCATGAGGATGAATAGGAAGAATGGAAAACAAAATTGTAAATAATGTGTATTTTATGACCAACAAATCTCTACAATAGTTAGTAATAAAAGGCTAGGAAGAGGGCAAAATAAAAGAAACATACCTTGAGTTGGCCAGAATCACTAACAAGGAAATTGAGAGGTATTGTAACATCTATAACTTCTGAAGCTGATTCACGACTTGATGCACTTGATGCATTTATCTTGCTCAGGATAACGTGGTTTCCATATAGCGCTCTGGTAATAACTAGTCCGCCTGTTTCTAATTGCTTACTTTTTTTCCTATTAGCAACAGTTTGTTGTAATTGCTGAGCTTTCTCTGCTGCGGCCCTACCTTCTTGAACCTGCAGACATTATGCTTGCTACAATGTTTATTGAAACAGAAAATAGGAAAGGACAGAAACACGGGTGCACCCATGCAAGGCATGCACCATTTCTCAGATTGCTAACAGGAAAGTATCAGTCTCCGACATGTGTGATATCAAACCAAAGAAAATTAAAAAACATTGCTTCAACTAACAAGTTCAAAATGCACCAAGAAAACAAACTTTTCATAGCCTCCATGATTCAAACCAATTCAGCATCGCACTTTTCAACAATCACAAGCACAGAGGCATAAACCCCAAGGTTTGGTGATCGTTGACCAAGAACAACTTCCCAGATATTTTGAAGTCCATGTAAACATGAGAAAGTGGGAATTTAAGACCTTGTGTTTGGCATGACAGCTAAAACTAAATAACATTCTCGAGAACATATTTCTGGCAGCACATAAATTCTTAACGAATCAATCAAGTTATTGACTTAAAAGTAATGTAATTCAATAGCATTCCCTGTATCTTGGATAAATATGTTTTGTGACAAGCGTAGCATGCCCATGGTAAAGTAATCCCACCCATCTTACATTCCTAAGCTTCGATGTGACACTGACATACCAAGCACAGGTATTCAATGTAGAAATTTCAGATATTGGGGTATGTGATATACCCAACTGCAAGCGGCACTACACCCCAGCAACACTTCAAAGTTTATACCATACATGAACGTTCACAAAAAGGTCAAACAAGTACACTGTAAGAAAAATAGACCCATCCATGACTCCAAGCAATAACCAGGATCCAAAAAAGTTTAAACTAAAATGATTAACAAATAAAATAATCTTGGGATCATTGCAAAGACATTTCCATCAGCTGGCTGGAGCTTAAATTAATATTTTCCCCTGTAATGTGCATGAATTTTACCATGCATTGAAAGGTACAGATATCATCCATGAATTATTAGAGTGGAAGCGTTTAGCAGTTGCCAGTTATCAGGGAAAATTAACTTTCATTTAAGACTGATAGGGATATTAACATAATCAATCTAGGGCCCACCACGAACAACACAAGTCCTCAGGTTGAAAAGGTTCTTAGCATGGTATCAGAATCTTTATGGTCAAAAATTCTATCTTTCCCCTCCGCACCCCAAGATTTAACCATGCTCTAAGCTTTTGTGTGAGGAAACGATTTTTAAATTTTAATGAGAGAAAAACTTGAACCTCAACAATATAAGCTTCAGGGTTAAAATGGTCAGTTGTTGACAAAGATTCTCAACATATGAAGGAAAGTAGCAGAACGAAATAATAATATTCAATGAGAATAGAAGCCATCACATTAGGTGCATAAATCATCCATACCTGAGAAGAAGTTTTCTCTGCATTCTCTAGAGCCTTCTGCTTATTCCTTTTAAGGTAATAGGGTTTGATTAAAAATTTCTGCAGACACGCATATCATACATCAGCGAAACATATTACCTAAAAATTAGTAATTAGTCTTGTTTGTTATTCCCTGGATTGTTCCAGAATCAGAAATATTGGAGTAAAAACTAATAACTGAGCTATTTGTTTACAGCTATTGCTTCAGCTTACAGAAGTTAACCCACAGGGGGTCCAAAGTGTGAAGCGTTGTTAAAAAGATTTATTTTTTATTTATTTCCTATCAGTTCAGTTCTTCCAGTTCAACCAAGCCCTCCGTGCGCAGCAGGGTATAGGAGAAATCACTATGTACACGGAAGAAACAAAAACAACAAAATTTCCTAGGGTTCTATTATCAGGTTCTCTGATATCATACACACAAAAACGTGAATGTATATGGTTGAAACCTTAATTACATAAGCCAAATGAAACGGAAAGAAGTATACTCATACTTAATAAGGAAAAATAATTGTGCACAAAAATGACATACGATTGTACTGAAAAGAGGCATTAACATCATCATATTCGCACCAGCCATTAATTAATCCACCTATATCTTGTGAAGACATAAAATATGCATTAGCCATTGGTTAATCCACTTAGACATAGTCATATTTGCTTACAATAATGGGTTCTTTAACTGGAAAACCAAAATAAGATACTGAATTTTTGTTAGAATTGCTCGTTTTTGTGAAGCATACATGATTACTACAACATGATTTCTTAATAAATGGTGTTCTAACAATAAACTGGATGTAGACACTTATAGGTCTTCACAAAAATAAACCAGTATAGAACCTAGGAATATTTAAATTGCTAAAGGAGTTCATCATCAATAGCTACCTTCAAAAGGAAGTAGAGAGATGCTGGAATAATCAGTGCCCCACTCGCAAAGACAGGGTTCAAATGTCTGGTCAGCAAAATCTGTAAGCAGCAAGTTGTTAGTAAATGGTAATGGGTTAATAACGAAATATAAAGAAAACGGAATAAGCAGATTTTTCATTTGCTAGGAAGTTCATTCTGTCTCAAATTAAATACTAAAGAACCGATTAATAAAGTAATCTGGAACTATAGGAAGAGTGGAACTTTTAGGCACAAGCAGAATAAAGGAGATACATGACAATATGACCAGGTGATTAAGGCCTACTACAACTGCTTCAATATTTACATAAAATCTCTCAAAACAAAAATAAAATCTGTCATTTTTATCGGAGATGTCTGTTCTCGAAAAAAAAAAAACTGAGAAGAACCCGTATGTGCAAGTACCAGTGCTGAATACACGGGGATATGCATTCTAGGTATATCCAAATCATTTTTTCAAATAGCACAGATACATTAACATCTGGGTGGGCCCTTGGCTAGATATGGTTAGATACAGATATTGAACAAAATACACATTTTTCTTGCCATTAAAGTATGCCATTTTCGGTTGAACCAAATTTTCACATAGAAAGAATACCCTTAAGGGATTCAGCAAGACAAAATCTTGCTTCGTCTTTTGTTTCCATCATGCTTTTGCTGCTTCCATTGCTATAAGAACGAAGCCTGTGAAGGTTGAATCTGCCCAGAGCCTCACCATCAATGGAGGTCTCAAGGAGTGAGGCTTGAACACCTCCATTGCCTCTTCTGTCTTTCAAATGTTAGTCTTCATGCCAATTTCTTTGGAGACAACCAATGAAGACTCCAATTTATGTTTAATATTTTGCTAGAGAACAATCCACCATCCATTCATTTTGTACCTTTTTAGAAAGTTACACCAGCAATGTGGCTTGTTGCAACATAAGGCAATTAGAGTGTCCATCTTGCTACTTGCCAGTGCCACATTGTCCATGATTTTGACTGTAATAGAATATTTTTCTAAATATGAAAAACTGTGCTAACAAGTTTTAGTGCATCCCAGTTTTGCTGTATCTTGTTTTCGCAAGAAAACGCAGCATCCCATATCCATATCACACCCATATCGTATTCTGTATCTGTGCTTTATAGAAAATAACTTTATAGCTAAAGTTTTGTCTAAAAGTAGAAGGCACAAGCAACTAATGCCATTTTATCTGTTAGGTAAAATAGGAAAAGAACCAAGATTGTGCTTACAGGGATAATTAACTTTTGGCCACCACGATGCAGCTCAAATTTCCAAATAATACCCTGAAAAGGTTTAAAAAGGCATAAAGTTAAAAAAACAAAACCCAGGGGGGAAAAAAAAAAGGCAACATCTTGAGAGGAATGTACAGCACAAGCACAAAGGTTCTGTAATATTACAGCAAATAAAAACAAAGAAACTCATCTTAACAATGACTAGAACAAACTACAGGTGATAGTCAACACACGTTTCTTCCCAGAATTAATCATAAATCCTATTCTCCTCCACTACAGTAAGCAACATCAAAAATGTAATTGAATTATTTCCATATTAGTCATTAAATTAAATAAATCTAGAATCCCCCAATGAGCTTACAAAATAAACTTAATGGAGATGCAAAAATCTATCAAAAAACCTTATTTGTAGGAGACTTCAATCAAATAGTAATGTCAGATCCTTTTCAGACTTCACTTCATTAATAGACGTTTTAGAAATCTAAATAACATTTACTTTTAAATTACTACTTGTTAGCAAAAGATTATAATAAGAGGAACATTTTATTGTAAGATAGCTGTTTTCTGGGACGACTGTAAGTGAGAATCATATTAATGTTAAAGTAATAAAAATATATAGAAAATAGTTTCTTGCAAGGGTAAGCAATATGAATATGATTAGCCATACTCATTTTCAACGTTAAATTGTTTCTAAAATTCAACCAAGAAAATTCCGACAGAGTTGTTGACCAACAGATTGCCTTCTCATAACTCGCATGCCCAAGATGTTATGTGATGACTTCAACCTATTCTTTCACATTATTTTACAATCTCACGATAAGCCAGTTAACTGGATTTGTAAACTCAGCAGTCCATGAAAACAATTTCCGGATTAGTAAAAGCCAAAGATACACTGATGTGATGGGGAGATTGAGCTTGGCATCAAAGAACATGTTTATAGCTAAGCCTATAGGTAAAAGTAGCTTAGATAAGCTTCATCCCAAGTCAATGTCATGATGATTCACCATAGCATAAGAAAAATTAAAATAAACTTATATAATATTTAATCTATGAGAAGCCATACTATTCATGAGCCATGAACCATCTGATTCTGAGCAAAGAATGGGCCAACAATTAAGTTAAAATTAAAATTTTCAAGAAAGATTTATTAAAAGCAGTACCTGAATTCCTATCGTATACAACCAGCGGACAGTGCTAAATTTGGATAACTTCCTCCCACCCCCAATTTCAATCTCAAGGGTTGAACTGGCGATTAGTTGTGTAATGTCAAGAAAGATAGCAGAAAAAGAGATACATATATTGACAATAATACATGGTGAATAACTATAATGATGACTAAGAGTTGAATTAATAAATCAGTATTTGGTACAAAAAATATGACAGTTGAAATTAAAAGCAGCAAAAATGAATTTGAATAAAACAATACTCACATTTTACCAGTGATAAGGCACATCAAATGAATTGGATGTTATAGTAAGAAAATGCTCAGCAGTGCCATACCTAAGAGTCTAAGACCTCTACAATGGTCCTGTCATTAATAACTTGCCCTGCTTTCAAATTAGGTTGCATTTTCTTTGAGCAAACATAAGGCATGCCATAAAATTAATCCTTCCCCAAAACCATTAGACTCAATACATAAAAGAAGAAATACTGTCCAAAATGTAATATTGGGTTAAGTAACCTCTCATGGCATCTAGTGCTAAGGGGTAAAGAAACCAAGCATCTGCTTAAGACTAATTCTATTGAAACTAAGTTAGAAGGTGAAAATAAAACATCAATGAGTTGTAAGATCCTCCACGATAAGAATCAATCGTTATATAATCCAACACCGGACACCATACCTACAGGTTTCTTCCTAAGTTTCTCCCACCAGAACAAGAATTTTGTCATAACTGTTTCTTATTACATATGCAAACATTAGTCCTTAACCAAGCCTTACTGTTACATCACTCCATTTAATAGCAACTGAACTTTTATTCTCTCCCTGTCACCCAAACTTACATTCGATAAAGCAAGGCAATCACATGGAATCATGGCTTCCATAAATCTGAAACCACTTAGAAAAGGTTGAGAGAAGCATATTAGTTTGAAAATGCAAGAGAAGCTGCTTTTTTTAATAGACAAGCTGCGAAACACATTGTGAACAATACATAGCAATTAATAGAAACTGTTTGTATCCAAACTTTCACAAAGTGTGTCATGTAATCATCATAAGCAAATAGTCATAAGTTAAATTATTATTTGAGCATTTGATGAACAGCTTCTACTTTTAATGCCATGAGATTTTTTGTCCTCAAGTGGAAAAACCATAAGCTAAACAAGAAACTGTGCTCAATTTACATCAAACCAGATCCAATGCACATACCTCCCAATCCTGCCTGCAATGCGGCCATGAGATTTAGAAGACAAGTGATGAGTATAATGAGCTCCTACATCAAAAGAACTTGTGCCAAACTACAAAAGTAAAAGAGTTAATATAAGTAAAGAAGAAGCAGACAAGGAGAAGCTCAAGATAAGAAACTATTGAAAAGACGAAAGCTCAAGACGAAAATTAGGTTGTACATGTTATCAGTCACATTGTTGATGCAATGTCACCACCAAAATTTGCAACTTCAACCAATTGAGCAAAATCCTAGAGCTATAAACCACATAAAATAACAAATTCTACAATTTAATCTCCATGCATCAAACATGAGAATGCATAATTCCCTAAAAGCAAGCTAAATCTCATGTGAATTTCTTATGAGGCTTCAATGTCCCATATTAATCCATCTACATACAAATACAGCCAGAAGAATTCGGTTAATCTGACACACTGTCCAAAAAAAAAAAAAGTTTGAGGTCCATGGCCCTTCATTTAGCAGCTGTTCAATCATAACTCAAATTCATTCTCATCCATCGACTTGTAAAAATTCCCAAATTAATATTAATCATGCAGAAAAAAAGTACCTTCACTTCTCCTGAGGCAGATCTTTTCTCGTCTTTCTTTTGCCACCCTACAGCTATAGATGAATGTGGCCCTAAAGCAAGTTGTATCTGTAAAACAGATGACATGGAAGGAATCATAGACATAAGATATCCAATAATTTTTAGAATATTTACTTATGCTTGTAAATGCTTTAATGTTCTATAGATTTTCAAGAGAACAGGGAGGTCCATTCTTAAATTTTATGCTTCAGTGTTGCCAAGAATTGGTTTGCTAAAATGATTTGGTTTATTGTGGCCAGGTTTCGTGCACAAAAATTTCAACTAATAGAAGTAAGCTGACTTATATTTATCAATCATGCAATAGTTCCCCAAAAAGGTACGAATGCATGAATAGTCCGTATCAGATGGCTATGCTTCCCTATAAATGTGCTGCTCTCTATTGACAGAACACAGCGTGAATGAGCAGCACAGTTCAATTATTACCAAGACATGCATCAAATATAGCTTAGCGTTGTTCATGTAAGGCATAAATTTTCAACAACCTCTTCTGGAATCGATCTTAACTTGCTGATTGAGGCATGGGAATAGCAGACAAATCATTGTTTCCTCAAGTTCTGCAAACTCAGATGATGAATAAATACTCGCTCATACAAGGGAAGTTTTATTATTTTGACTGAATGTCATGGACCGAAGACGCCTACCATCACACTAACAAATTTCAATATTTTGTGAAGGTGATTTATCTTTCTTCCTTCATCATCATTTTCTAAATTTTAATTTCATACAGTAATTGGAAAGTACATACCCAGAATATGTCAAATTTGTTCATCTCAGTTCCAAAAAGTATCATCCCCAAATCCCCAGTTTTATCAGTAAAGCATATCCTATTGAAAAGGGAAAAAAGAGAGAAAAGAAGATTGTAATAAAATAAACACCATACATGTCCACTTGCTGTGTCTGACAGTTGGCGATTCCATGAATTAGAAAGATTCAATGAACCATCTTGCAAAGACATAGCAAGGCCCATTGTAGCAGATGAATGTGCTGATAATTGACTGAAATAAGTCGGCAAAGAAATATTCAAACTGACATTCCACAACTGGCCAAATATCATTATTCATATTTTTAAGAACTAGATGCCCTACCGTGTTGTTTGCACCCCTATTAGTGCTCGCAACCCAGCTGAAGCCATAAACTCTATAGAAGAAACTTCTGAAATTTCATGCCTAAACAAGGCAGTAGCAACCCCACCACCTGAATCGCCATTAACTGCTAAATTGCCACCAATTGCAACACTACTACGTTTTGATAATTGAGACTGAACTTCGCTGGTCATAGACATCCTGAAATTCATAACAACAATACAAGGTACTATCAGATAGAAAACTAAAGATGTTATCCGAACACGTAATCACAGCAAGTGACAGCTAGCTATTAATATCCCAGGAAGGGAATGGATATGCTTAGAGTGAAAATGAGCAGCTGAAAAATGACAGCATATTTCATCGTCACTTTCCCCTTGCCACTAGCATTTCTAACAAGGAAGCACAATATTAGCACACGGCCTATAACAAATATGCAGCTCAATGAAACATGTCAGATAATATTTCCAGCGTTCAGATGATTATTTAATAAGTTCATTCTCCAAGGTTCTGAGAAATGAGGATGGTTGGCAACAACAAGTGATGGAGAAATATTATAATGAACTGAGCAATACCCTCTCATGATGCCATCACCATTTAGACAGTGTGGCAAAGACATATTGGCCAGAATTGCACCAGAAGTTCTAAAATGTGCCGATATCTTTTGTATCTCCTTCATTCGCCGTAGTCTCTCCAATTCAGCCTTTATCTCTTCTGCTTTATCCAGCTTCGAACCAAGTTCCAGGCCAGATGTCAAACCTTCCATGCCATATATGTCATATATTTGCCTTTTATTTGGATCCGACAAAACTTCATACGCTTCACAAATACGTTGGAAGTTTGCAGTAGCAATGTCTTTCATCTGAGAGTACCCATTAAAAGAAAAACTTAGAAACGGCAAGTTCAAGACTACAAAAAAACTAAACCAATAAAAAGAAATTTAACACATTTCAAGCATCTGCAAAGCGGCAATTAGAGTAGCATACGTGGGGAGCTTGGTATTTATCAGGGTGATAGGCTTGTGCCCATTGACGATAAGCTCTTCGGATTTCTTCATCGGAGGCATCCGGCGACAAGTTTAAGAGTGCATAGAGTTCTCTATTTGGTGGTCCTTCGAGGCCTTCGTCCATGGCGTTAGCCTCCGATCAAAGCAAGAGCAGCTAGGGTTTTGCAGAGAATGACATTGCCATTGAAATTCAACTGAGAGTCATCAAAAAGGCAGAAGTGGGGTTTAAGGGGTTTTTCGCTTACGTCACATAAATGGCAAGATTCGACTTGGCCTCCCCGACATCCGTGATTGGGTTTTACGGAGGCACACTGCAGAGCCGAAAAGCTGACTTCTTTTTGCTGGATAGTGAAAATTTGATTGAAGTCATCGGTCAACTGATGGTGTGTAGAATAGCCAAAATTTGTGCACACAATTTTTTTTATCTATTGAGTTCATATTTAGTATAAAAAATTAGGGGGAAAATCCCGATTCAGAATTTTATCGTCCTCTTAGTTTCAACAAGGTCTACACTTTCATTAATTTTGTTCCAAGTTCTAGCAATCAAATAAGAAGTTATACAACGTGGGGGTGTAGCAAACAAAACCATGGCAGCAATATAATAAAATATACTTTATTAAAAATATTTCTAAAAAAATATTTACAAATTCTTAGATTAATTCCACATGCAACTAATCTAAAATATACTTTTTAAATTAGGTATTATTGAGACCAATGTAAAAATTTTTTAAAATATTTTTTTAAATAAATAATACAAGCTTTTAGAATGAGATTTAAAATCTAAATATTTAACCTACTTCATTTTATGTTGTCTTTTTAAGCTACGTTTGCTGGTAATCGTTTTGAGTTCTCTCAATCTACTTTCTATACTTCATTTACTAGTTACCCTAATACCAGTCCTCTTTTCCATGCATGTTTCTTTTGTATTGTGATGTCTCCTTCATGCTTGGCTCCTCAATAACGTCTCATCTTCTTCATCCTTCTTATTTTCTTCAGGTTTATCAACTTTTCCATGATTGTTAAGTAGAGATCTGTACCCATAGCATTCATATTCATGCTCATGGTGTCAGGATCTATGCTCGTTGCATCCAAATGTATGCTATCTCAAGCTCTCATTGTGTTGTCATTCAAATGCTCATATTTGCTTAGACTTGTACTTATTTTCATGGCCACCATATTTATTTTAAGTTTATGCATCATTTTTCTTTCTCTATTTATATATTTAATGAATAATGTCAAACTTTGTTTATTGAATACATTTTTGTTGTTGAATCAATGTAAATCGAGATCCTTTCTGGCAAACTTGGGATAGTTTTTTTTTTTTTAATCTTCTAATCAGATCTAATTGTTTCTACTTTTATACTATTTCCTGTTTGGTGCAATGTTATGGAATCTAAATTTTCTCTTAGATTTTCCAAAATTTAGCTTATTCTATTTCATGAGATCTAATAAAATTGCAATTTTTTTATTTTTTAGACTAGTTGTCAAACCGGTGTAGCCGGTCCCAGATCTAATTAAAAAAGCCAACTTCAATTAGTTTAAAAGACCTTTTTTTTAACTAATAATCATAAAGTCATTTTTAAAAATCTATTTCAAACACCCTAGGCCTCCAAGAATGTATACATTTATCATGAAAATCATTGTACATTGGCCATGAAATTGGGATATGATATAAATGAAATGGGAGAAGGCCTCAATCATTTTGAGAAACATCTGTGGCCTCAAGAATGTTGTGGGGGGGGGTCAGAAGGTGGAATATAAGGAATAACTAAGCAAGATTTTCCAAGAACATTTCTTGGATCATTACCTATAAAATTCAACCAAATATATGTAACAAGCATAGAACAACTATTATATATATGTGTGTTTATCCATAGTAATGAATTGAACAACTTCACATATGTTCGGTATCTTATAAGTCTACAAAAAAAATCACAAAATAAAACCTTAACAGCATAATGTGACCCCACCGTTTTACTCTTCAAGTTTGTCAGAGGTGACAATACTAGTTGCTTGATGCTTTTGGTCTATCTCTTGTTGCTTCAACACTCTTGTCGTCTTCAACAAAGCACACTTCAAACACCCAGCTCACCCGCTTTTTAATATGATTTTCAGGGGTATCATTATCTTTAACCTTACCCAAATTGGTTCCCATGCTCAACTAAAATGGCTTCCCACCAAATTTGGTAGGATCCCATTTTCCTTTGTGTAAAGCAAAATCTCGTACCAACAAAAAATGGGTGCTTGCAAGATAGCGCCACCAAACACATCCCACCACTAGAAAATTTGAATTTTCCAATTCCATCGCCACATTTTCACTCTACCAAATGGCCCCCTAGAGATAAAAGAAGATTATGAATGGTTGCAACACTGACAAGGGAGAAAGCAAAGACACAATGACTAACGACAAGGATAAAAATAGCCACTATTCCTCTTCCATTCTCTCCTCCCCAAAACCATAACCTTCCACTCCTTTTCCTCTCTTTCCTCCCTTTCTTCCACTACTACGATTGTCCCCTTCTCTCTCTCTCCTAGCACCTCCTCATCCAACTTCGTAATCAGCTTGCTACCAGTGACTCATGCCAAGCCAACAAAAAGACTCCCAGTGTCCTCCTCATTTTCATTGGTAGTGGTGCTCAGGAAGACAAGAAAGAAAAAAAAAAAAAAGGTAAGAGTACACCAGTGACCAAATTGGGAATATCACAAATATATGAGGATAAACTGGTCAAAAAAAGTTGGCTTCCCTCCAAATAAACCCCAATTTGGAGGGGACCCTCCAAATAAACCCCGATTTAGAGGGAACCAAAATGAGGGTAAATGAGGGGCTCCCCTCTCCTCCAAAATTTTCAACCAAATGAGAAGAAGAGATCATTTTCCCTCTTCTCTACCACTCTCCTCTCCAACCAATCACACCCTTAGTATTTCTAGTAATATATCTAAATTTCGAGAATCAGAGAGGAGTGGGAAGGTCTCAAGGGGCCTATATATGAGCTCTTGATAACCTTAAACAAATAGGTATACTAACTTTATTTTTAATTTCTTAAGTTAGGTTTGGTTGAAGCGAAACTCGACAAAAGGAATGGATGTCACACAATTCACCCGACGGCCATGGCTCAAATTATTCACTATAATTTGCCAATTACCCCTGGAAGAATACATGCAAGGGAGTCTTGGAGGGTTCTTATTGCTAGGCTAGTGAGATACTCCTTCAGTCCTAGATGTAAAACTGACTGTGCAATGTAAATTACATTACAAAATCGGTCTTACATTTAAGACCAAAAAAGTAGTACATGCAGAAGTGAAAATATAATTATTGACTCTTCAAATCTTACTAATTTAAGTCTATTTTGAATATATTTGGGGAGTCATAAAAGCAAAAGTGAAAATATTTTCATGAATTGGCTAAAGAAATTAACTAATGATATCATTTGAGTACAAGAAAAATATCAATAAGAAAATGACGAAAAATTGGTAATAACTAGATCCTGTAGGTTTTTTACTCACAAATGCTTATTGTTGTTATGTGCACATGAACATTATAAGCAAGTAGGAAAGGAGTTGATGAGCTAAAAAGTCAAGCTGAGAAGATCTATTAATGCCAAGGTATATGTGTGAGGTGCTATGACTCTCTGTTCTAAGAAAAGAAAGCAAATTCTCTACCGCTACGGCATCAAAGTAGAGTGTGAAGGCACTTTATGCAGAGAAATGAACAAGATTTTGACGACAGGAGTGCCGCGGCAACTTGACGGAACCCAAAATGTAGAATTTTGGTTTTTTTGACATAAATTGACCTAGAGGACCCGATTTGGAGCATTCTAGATGCCTTTCAACTTAGGAAATAGAGAAAGTGGTAAGCAACACGTTTGAGGAGAAAGAAAAAGCTAGGATTTGATGTTTTGAAGAGATTTGGGACGTCAAACATTGGTTCTCTTTTCTTTCCCTTTCCCTTTTTCATTTGTAATCTAATATGGACCAAAACACTTGTTGTAGTTGTGGCTTTTTTAGGATTATTAATAGCTAAACTCTTTTCCTTAGTGTTATTTTGAACCTTTGTATGAATTGAGACTCGTTTACTCCTTCCTTTTAACATTTACTGAATTTATGTGTTCAAATTTGCAATTTTAGTTATTTTACCATTTTGGAACAACATAATTTTAAATTACAATCTTTTAAATGATTTCACTCAACCTAATTAGGAGCACAAGTGCTATAATTAACCGATTTTTGTCTTAGTCCTCGTAGGAATGGTATTTTTATGCTACTTACGACTTGTGCGTTTATGGTTTACGCTTGACGGAGAATAATAATATAATAATACACATAAGTATTTCAGAGAAGTTATGTAACATATGCTATAATTAATAATTTTTTAACTTTCTTAATTTATCAAATTAGTTAAATAGATCTTATATTAAGAATTGAGAGTGGTATTACTTTAAAAAAAAAAAGTCAAATTGTTTGCACATATGGTGGGGAGTAAATATTTTTTATGGTAATATGAGTTGAAAACACTACAATTATGATTTTGTTTTTGTTTTTTTTATTTAGATATACTAATGCATCTTTAAATTGTGATTTTCGAATTTGTTAGATAAGCATGAACAATCAAGGGAAAATTTAGTAAACTTTCTTAGCAGTGGATTAATATCAGTCAACTCCTACTTTATTTGACTTGCAAATCACTGAATGTATGTTGCAAATTACTGAATTCTTATTACAAACCATTGAATTCTTGTTGTGAATGGTCGAAATTGAGTTATTTATTTATTCACCCATAAAATTTACAAAGATTTACAACTCAAATTTAAAGATTTACAATAAAAATTTAGTGATTTTCAACACAAATTCAATGATTTGCAACTCAAATAAGGATATTTTTGTCTTCTCACATAAAAGATTTAAGTCAAGAGGTGTGGTGAAATTTTATAATTTTTTGGGATTAACTAATATTAATTAGCTACTGAGCGGGTTTATTAGGATTCTCTGATGTTCCTTTTCCTCGTTGAAAAAGAAAACATACTCAATGACTATAAACAAAATTACCATGAAAAAAAATTCAAATATAAATTTCTCATAGTAAATTATTTTTATTTAAATTTCACTTTGACGATAGATACATTAAATTAAGTTATTTTTTCTAAAAGTTAACGTGTAAATTTATTTCAAAATTTGTTTATACTAAGTATTCTTTTTAAATACAAATTTATTTTAAAAAATTAAAATTATAATAATATTAGCCCTTTATTGTGGAGAAACTAATCTTAACTATTGAAATACTAATATAGATTATTAATATAATATTGTTATGATTTTAATGTTTTGTTCACAAAAATTCTGGGTGTCTATGAAAACTTCTTATATATATATTTAGATAATTATAATAAAATTAAAAAAATAATTATAAAATAAGTTATAAAATTATTATTATTTATTTAGAAAACTGTTATGATTGTTATTAGAATTTTTAAATAATTTTGTCATGGCCCATGGGACATCTTACAAATTTTCTTTTTGTTTTTTTAATTGAATCGGCACAGGCCTCCTTTTTACCAAGTCGTTAGCCGAAAGACCTCGAACCGCGCCGACGTAGTTCGATCTAAAAGGGCTGGACCTGTCGACGCGGTAATTGTATTTTGTTAATCGAAAACGCTGGTAGGGTTCGGAGTTTGCTTAGAGGAATAGAAGATATAGAAGGGATTGCATGTGAAGATTCGTGTGATCCGTTTGCTTTGTGGGAAATTGGCCCTTGATTGTTAAAGAGAAGTAGCTGGAAATCAGAAGCAATGACGACCGCAGCTCGACCTACATGGGCACCTGCTAAAGGTGGCAACGAACAAGGTGGTACGCGAATTTTCGGTCCTTCGCAAAAGTACTCATCCAGGGACCTTGCAGCCCATACCACCCTAAAGCCCAGGTAGGTTTTTCTTGTGCCCTATATATTTAGGCTTCTATATATATATATTTGCGACGCTTCTTCGTATTATTGGTTTCTTGAAATCGAAAGGAAATCTGAGGAATTGGTACTGAGTTTCATGATTAGGATATCTTGTTCTGTTTGGATCGTAAGATGGGTTAGATTTCCTCGCTAAAGGGATAAAGTGACTTGAAAGGTTGCTGTGATCTTAATTAATTGTTGGGTTTTAGTTGCTTGACCAGTTAATACCCTTCTACATTTATTTGTCTCTTGAAATCGAAAAGAGATCTGAGGAATTGGTGCTGAGTTTCATGATCAGGATATCTCTTTCTCTTTGTCCCGTAAGTTGGGTTAGATTTCCTGGCATAAAAGGATATAAAACATAAATCTGAGGAATTTTAGTTGTTTGACCAGTTGATATGCAATTGAAATAGTTTATTTAGAGAAATAATGTTGCTAGAGGCATCGTTCGGATTATGTTGTGAGAAATATATTTCAATTTGAAGTACGTACTGATATGGCGGTCATGGAAGCTCAATAAGGACGCTAATTTAAATTATTTGAATCAGCTATATCACTATCTCTAGTACAAGTATGGAACATTTTAATCAGAGGCGGTGCAAGGAAATTTGCTCTGGCATATTTGTTTGGTTTTTATTCCTTGTAGTAATGGGTTGAATTTAGCAGTGTAATTGCGCTAAACATGTCCGATGCTTTTCACATGGCCTTTTGGCGCCCCATTGATGGGAGCGCCTCATCATAGGCGCCTACGAAGTAATCAACTTATAAGTGTAAAGTTCAGAAACTATAAAACACAATCTAAATAGTCCAACCCAACCTATAATTTGTCATTTCTTTTTTCGAAAACTCATATGTTAATCAGCGATGACCCCATACCATTGATATGGGGTGTGGAAATACTTTAAGATGCACACACTTCAAAATTAGCAGGAAACGTACAACAGCGATTTATTTGTGTATAATGATATCGTTCCTTGTTTTTAGCGTTTTTTCTGCTTTTGTTTCGATTTCCTTTGTTTTTAGGTTTTAGTCCTTTGCTGTAAGTCAAGTTCTCTTGTCTCTTGAATTCAACAACAACAACAAGCCTTATCCCATTAGGTGGGGTCGGCTACATGAATCACACAACGCCATCGTGCTCTGTCAACAACCCAGTCCTTAGATATGTTGTTGACTAGGAAGTCTCGTTCAATGATCTCATTAAGCGTTCTTCTTGGTCTTCTTCTGTTTCTTTTTATGGGACTCCATCTTGTCTGATCCGCCCTTCTCATCGGAACCTCCAATGGCTTTCTCTGCACATGTCCAAACCATCTTAATCGATTTTCAACCATTTTCTCTTAGATAGGTGCCACACTGACTCTTGTTCTGATATTTTCATTTTGAATCCTATCTTTTCTTGTATGACCATTTTGAATCCTATCTTTTCTTGTATGACCACACATCCATCTCAACATTCTCATTTTTGCTATCCCAACTTTGTGCTCTTGTTTTCCTTTTATTGCCCAACATTCAATACCGTACAACATAGCTGATCTTATAGTAGTCCGATAAAATTTTCCTTTAAGTTTCTCAGGTACCTTCTTATTACAAATAACTCTGGTAGCTTTCCTCCACTTTAACCAGCTAGTTTGTATTCTATGAGAAACGTCTCTATCAATTTTCCTATCCTCCTGTATAATGGATCCTAGGTATTTAAACTTTGATACTTGAGGAATGATCTGCTCTCCTATCTTCACCTCCAAATTTCCATTGCCTTGCCTCCCCCTAAAATCACAATGCATATATTCTGTTTTATTCCTACTCAAGCGGAAACCTTTCAACTCCAAAGTCCTTTTCCATAACTCCAATCTAGTGTTAATCTCTTCTTTTGATTCCGCCATGAGAACTATATCATCCGTGAAAAACATGGACTTAGGGATTCTTTCTTGAATAGGTTCAGTTAGAACATCTAGAACAATGTTGAACAAGTACGGACTCACAGAGGATCTTTGATGTAGGCCAATCTGAATAGGAAAGTCTTTTGTCTCACCTCCAGGCGTCCTTACACTGGTAGTTACCCCCTCATACATATCTTGTATGGCTTTGATATAAGCAACCCGTACACTTTTCTTTTCCAAAACCTTCCACATTACTTCTCTTGGCACACGATCATAAGTCTTTTCTAGGTCAATAAAAATCATATGTAAATCCCTTCTTTTACTTCTATATCTTTCCAATAACCCTCTTAGTAAATAGATTGCTTCCAATGTGGATCTCCTTGGCATAAATCCAAATTGGTTTTCTGAAATAGAAGTCTCCAGCCTCAACCTATATTCCATCACTTTTTCCCACAACTTCATTGTATGACTCATAAGTTTTATCCCTTTGTAGCTTGCACAATTTTGAATGTCTCTTTTATTCTTGTAAATAGGAACTAAAATGCTTCTCCTCCAATCATCCGGAACTAAATTGCCTCTTGAATTCAAAAAAAAAAAATGATATCGTTCCAAGTTATATGTATCTAATTCTTTTTTCATACTGTATTTTTTCTTATTTTAACGCTTTGATTTACTTGGCATGCACCTTTTGAGCACCTCTTTCCTAAGGCGTTTCAGAGTTCTAGCTCTTTAAGGGCGCCTTTCGCCTGTGACTATCTTGGAATTTAGATAAGGAATTGGTCAGTGAATTTTATATGGTGTTTCTGCTTATCCCTTATTGATATTTGATCCTCAACATAAAGAGGCTTAAGTGGTTTTTACACCCCCCCCCCCCCACCAATGTGTGAGACCATTTTATACATTTAGTTGATGTTATGCTTATATATGTCATGTGATAAGACAGCTCTTTGCCAATGCCAATGGTGTCTTTCTCCCCTCCTGGCAAAAAAGAGAGAGAAAAAAAAAAGGTGTTCTCCAAATAACAATTCTATACCTGCCTTGACAGGAAAGAAGGGCAGGACACACAAGAGGAATTGCAGAGAAGGAACCTACGTGATGAGCTGGAAGAGCGTGAAAGGAGGCATTTTTCATCAAAAAATAAATATAATGGTAAAAAGATCATCTTAAATTGTTTTCTAAATTTCACTATGTCTATTTTTTTTAAAAGCAAATTCTGATTGTTTTGATTGTACTTTATGGGTTGTGACAGATGACAGGGATCGTGGAAAAGGAAGCCATCTCTTGTTGGAAGGTGTTATATTGATCTCTTTATGTTTATTTATAATTAGATATTTGTGCATTCTTTTTTCATGCGAGGAAAGATAAGCTAACATGATGTACAATTTAGTCTGTGTTCAGTCTTATAAGTTAATGGGATTTTGCTTTACAGGAGCAAAGAGAGAAACTGAAGATCGCATTGTTCCACGTAGTGTGGATGCAGATGATTCTGACATTGATGTCAAGAGTGATGATGAGAGGTTGGTAATCTTGCATTTTTTAACATCATCAGTCATCACTTTGTTTCGGGATGTTAATTTTTATTTTCACAGGCAGTTTGGATTTCTTCAGCACGATGGCAAATAAATTATTGTGTGCATGCATGGATTGCTAATGAAATTGATTAAACTTTAATTTACATATACGGTTATATTTGTAAATATATAAAATATTTCTGCAACAATATTTTTATATGCTTCTGTGAAATAACAGGTTGTTTTTTTTTGCGTATTTCTGCACTTAGTTTTGATCATCAAATTGGCTTTCTTTATTGTTTTGGTTTTTGGTCATTTGAGGCAATTCGGTTGATACTTTGGATAAGAACAAATGAACATTACACATTATGTGTTTATTTGCATGTCTATCGGTTGGATATTATAGAATCTCTTGAACATCGTGACTAACTTCTCTGGTCAGTGATGATGACGACGACGATGAGGATGACACTGAAGCTCTTCTGGCTGAGCTTGAACAAATAAAGAAGGAAAGAGCAGAGGAAAAGCTACGCAAGGTGAGGCTACTCTTTTTCCTCCTTTTGTTTCCTTGTACTCTTTCAAGTTATGCCATTGAACCTTTCTAGATACGCCTCTGTTTCGTTACTGTGCTATTGATGAATACAGTGGATAACTATGGGGATTGAAAATTTGAAACAAGTGGATGCGGTCTCATTATCTTAATTTAGCAACTCACACGTTTACTGTCTACTATTTCTTCTGGGTTTTAGTTCCAACCAATGTATATTGTCCCTGTGCAGGAACGACAACAAAGAGAAGAAGAGCTGAAAGTAAAGGAGTCAGAGCTTATGCGTGGAAACCCACTGCTAAATAACCCAACTTCTTTTAATGTGAAAAGAAGGTGTGAATCTGAGATCTAAACTAAAACTGAATTCACAGGTTTCTCGTGGATTATTGTGTTGGATCTCATTTTAGTTTTGTATGAACTTTTTCTCGACTTAGGTGGGACGACGATGTTGTGTTTAAGAACCAAGCACGAGGTGAAACCAAGACACCCAAACGATTCATCAATGACACCATCAGGAATGATTTCCACAGAAAGTTCCTGCAAAAATACATGAAGTAGATCATCGAGGCAAGAGCCACCTAGCAGTCGGTGGTCAGTGGTGAAACTCAGTGATGTACAACGTGTGTTATCTAAGTGTGTGACTCACTCTGGGTGAATATGAGAATCTTGATATTTACGCTTGGAATGTGATTTTAGCATCAACTCATCTGCATCTGCCTCCTGTATGCTATGAATATTTCTCACCTCCACTGTTTCTGTTCGTTTTTTTTTTTAATGGGAAAAGAATGTATCTGTGGATCAACCTTTCGTAGAAACAAGTTTATTTTCTATTTTTGATGCTCTTGCTTTTTCTTTGAGGGTCAAAACAAGGCTCGACCCTATGGTTCATAAAGCATTTCTCGATTCAGCGGAACGTGCCGATCACTGTTAATCGACTCGATATCTATAATTTTTTTTCAAATGGATGCTTTAATTATTTTAATTTATTTTTTGGATTAAGGTATATTTAACACCTTAAAATATTTTGTAGTGTATTTAACATCTTAAAGTATTTTTAAAGTACATTTGATATCTTTTTTTTTTGTGCATTGCTAATGGATGTATAAAAAAATACTTTAAGGTGTTGGATGTATATAAACAAATCTTAAGATGCTGCATGCATTAAAAAATAGTTTAAGGTGTGAGAAAATTTTTTGGGATGCTATATGTGCTTGATAAAATATTTAGGAAAGCTGGATGCAGTTAAGAAAATATTTTGATGTACTGGATGTATTTTAAGTTTTATTTTTTTGACCTTGATGAACATGTTGAATTAGAATGTACAGTTAATACAATTTTTGGTCTTTTAAATTTATCATTATTTTGGCTTTCGTCTTAAATTTCAAATCATAGGTCCTAATCCTTTAAATTTCTTTTTATTTAAATGATTAGTTTTTATAATCCAATAAAAATATAAACTATTTTATCTATTGAGATACCACAACTTATAATTTAAAATTTGAGAGGTTAAAACCCAAACGGAAGCAATTGCTCTCACCAAACGTAGAATCAAGGTCACATCTGTAGTCCAACTCAAAGAAGCGGAATGCCAATAGACACTGTAATGGTTAGCCATCGGGATTGAGTTCAGTTGCTTTTGATGATACTGAGGGTGTTTGGGTAAAAACAAAATCATGATTTTAAAAGTACTTTTACGGTATATGAAGTAAATATGTAGAGGAATTTGCCTCGATTTGCAGAAAAGTACTCCTGAAAAGTGATTTTGGGGTTATCTAAACACCCACTGACACCAAAGAATATATCAAGTTATTAACCCTATAATGTATGTACTGAGAAAGATCCAACTCTAAAAACACGCCTAAATGAAGTTCAGCGGCTTCCTTATTCCATTTCTGCAAGCTTTCATATATAGTTTTGTCAGCCTTCTTAGTTTTGAATTGAAGAGGCAAGCTTAGAGGTCGAATAAAATTACAATTAAGTCTATTATGCAGACTATATTAGCCTATCCTCTTGGAAGAAGTCGGGGACTAGCGTGATACCAAACCCAACCAAGCTGTAAACACAATATTTTAATTATGCTTGGAATCTATTGATGAAACAATACTCGTATACTCTGAAGAACATTAAACATTAAATAGTACTACCTCCGGTCTTTAATATAAGACCCTGTTTGACTTTTGTTTTGGTCCTAAATATAAGACCCCAATCCACTTTATCTCTCATATTTATACTTTTTTTTTAAAGCAGTCTTCCTAACAATGATAGTTCTAATCAATACACTTGATTAGTAAGGATATTTTAAGAAAGACAACACCTATTTAGGACAAATAATTAATTCAATTTACTTTCTTAATTTCTTCAAATTAGTCAACTGACTTTTATAATTAGGACCGGAGGTAGTATTCTAATAAAAGAAGATGCACACGGGATCCGCGGGGAATTTGTGCCGCGCAAGTGACAACAAAATAGAAGGGTTGTCAGACATGAACGTTCGAAAAATTTTGTGGGCATGCAATAAGAACAATTGGGTGGGTCCCACTTATCTAATGTGGGGATTAAAAGACGCGATGGCGAATTGAGCATCATACAAAATACTATTCGTCCCATGCTGTGACCACAGCATTTATCTGCAGTGGATACCTCCAGCCAGATGACCGTTTGAATAATTCTACGCAACAATAATATATATATATATATATAGTAGAGACAAAAATACCATATAACATTATATATACTAATTATAGTCTTGGTAAAAAAGAAAAAAAAACCCACCTCTAGTCCTTAGTATAATTAGATTTACTTAACTATAATTAGGTAGATCAAAAAAATTAGTTAAGTTAGTCATTTGTTAAAATATGTGTTGATTTTCTCACAATATCCTCTTAAATTATATGTATTGAAATTATCCTTTGATACAGACTCTCTTGATATGTGCAATCAATAGAGATATATAATTTGAAAAAAAAAATATAAGTACGGAAAAGGGATTGAGATTTTATGTCTAAGATCAAATTCAACCAACTAGTTAACTCTTATATCAGGCACAAGAGGTACGTACTACTAATTATAACAATCTCATCTCGGATTCCTTACGTTTCCATTCCAATTGTGGATCACAAAAACAATCAAATACTCTTTCGATCCTTAATATAAGACCTATTTAACTAATTTAATTAAATTAAGAAAGTGAGGTAAGTTAATTAATTATAAAAAATATGACATGTTTTTCCTAAAATATCATAATCATCTTTCTTAATATTTTTCCTCCCTCACTTACTTGATCATGGTTGAGGAAGTATCTATAAGGGTAATTTAGAAAAAATTGACAAATATGAAAAATAAATCTTATAACTTGCAACAAGTCAGTTGCAATTAATTGTCATTGTGTGGCATCTTGACCATTGTGCCTCCAAATTCATTAAAAATAAAAAGAACTTTAAGCAGCCACTTAACTAAAGTAGGATGCAAAGAAATCTCAAATGACAGAGTGTCAATGTTGAAATTTGATGCATACATAAGTCACGAGGCTACATATTGCGAGAGGCGTGCTAGTATACTTGGGTTAGTAGGTTGTTATATATATATATATATATATATTTATATATATATATAAAACACACACACACACACATATTTATATATATATTACCCATATAGATATATAGAAAAAGAGAGGGCAATGACCCGCATGTGTAGTCTTTTTGTGCAATGCCAGCCTATCAGAAAAAGATTAGCCATAATATTTAACTAAAAAGCGACAAAAGTAACCGTTGGAATGGAAAGACCAAGATATGTCTTGTCTCTTCTAACATGTATCAATTACTAATTGAAATCAATCATGGCCCTACAACTATGTATGGTATCTATGATTGTGTGTGTGTGTCTCTCTCTCTCTCTCTATATATATATATAACTGTGTCAGTGTGTGTCTCTTCATCTTCTACTGTACTCTCAATTGTATGCATTACTACTAACTCCCCTTAATGGCTTCTCTTTTGCCTCTCCTGGTTTACGCTTCCTTATTGCATGCACTTTCTGCAACACCCATATCAAGGCGGGCGGGTCGACCCACCGGTCATCGTGTAATCACCGTCGACGTCAACGGAGGTGGGCGTTTCCGGTCGGTCCAAGCTGCCGTCGATGCCGTGCCAGACAACAATAGAATGAATGTGCTTATTCAAATCAGCGCCGGATACTACATGTAATATATACAATTTACAGTTAAGTTGGTTAATATTATATTATTGCCTGGGTTAATATTATATTTACGGTTAAAATTGCAGAGAGAAAGTGGTGGTTCCGGTGACGAAGCCGTACATTACGTTTCAAGGAGAGGGGAGAGATAGGACGGTGATAGAATGGCATGATCGAGCCAGTGACCTTGGCCCTAATGGACAACAATTACGAACTTACAGAACAGCTTCTGTCACAGTTTTTGCCAACTTCTTCTCTGCTAGGAATATCACCTTCAAGGTACGCACCACTTGTAACCCCTTCAGATAAATCATATAGAGAACGATCCAGATGAACCCATTTGAACTTATATACATATAAATATATATCCTTTTACAAGGATAGGATCTTTTCTTTGAGTGTTATCTTTCTGCTGGTTTCGGATCTTATCACTGTAGTATGATGAAGAAGGTGTGGCGTTGTGAGTGCAGAACACGGCGCCGGCGCCGATGCCGGGAATGGAAGGGTGGCAAGCGGCGTCGTTTAGGATATCGGGGGATAAAGCTTACATGTTGGGATGTGGATTCTACGGAGCACAAGACACACTCTGTGACGACGCTGGACGACACTACTTCAAGGACTGTTATATCGAAGGCTCCATTGATTTCATCTTTGGCAATGGCAGGTCCATCTACAGGGTATTAACCCATGCACCTATTATTTAATTACAAAATCATGCTCAAATATCGTAATTTATATGCAAAGTTTAGTGATTTCCTAGATTATTACTCTTCCGGTCCTAAATATAAGACCTTTTTTGTACAAAAGGAATATTTAGGATAGGAGGAGTATCATTTTCCAAGCTCATACTTATTATACAAATTTATACATATTAATTAAGGAATGCGTAAACCACAATGCCTATTAATTAAGGAATGAGTAAACCACAATGCCTATCACATTTTGTATTTAGCTGAGTTCCTTAAGTATTTAGTCATGAATTCGATCTGGCAGTGTGTATGAAGAGGGTCTCATGGCCAATTTTAAAGACTTTTTAAGAAGTCTGTGGTGAAAACGTATTAGTCATTGCTACCAGCGGTAAATACCCTAGGCTCAACCCAAAGGAATTAAGGAATGAGTTTGGTCAAGATTAGATCTGGATGGTCTAAACTCTAGACTTAATTTATTTTTCTAAAGAAATTATTTTAATGAGTATAAAATCTAAATCAAAAATAATATCTTAACTTCTTCTTTTTTTCAGAAAACAATTTTTATTTAAAAAATTAATTAAAATTAAAACGTCGGTGAATTTGGGGTACTCATCCCTCGGATGAAATGTCGTTGATGCAGGATTGCGTGCTGCACTCAATAGCCACAAGGTTTGGGTCAATTGCAGCACAAGATCGAAAAAGCCCAAATGAGAAGACAGGATTTGCTTTCGTAGGATGCAGAGTGACGGGTACTGGGCCCATATACGTGGGTTGAGCAATGGGCCCATATTCAAGAATCGTTTACGCTTATACGTATTTCGACGACATTGTCACGCATGCTGGTTGGGATAACTGGAATCACGACCAAAGCAAAAATAAGTAACCACCTCTCTCTCTCTCTGCTCCCCCTCCTTCCCCTCTCTCTCCACACACACACACACACAGAGTATCCATATTAGTTTTGCATATGAACATAAATTTTTATAGTTTGTGATTCTTCCAATGTTCAGGACAATATTCTTCGGAGTGTACAAGTGCTGGGGCCCAGGAGCCACGTCATTGAGGGGGATCTCATGGGCCCCAGACCTAGATTTCAAGTTGGCCCATCCATTTCTGGCCAAGAGCTTTGTCAATGGAAGACATTGGTTGCCGTCCTCTTATGCTTGGAAGGTTTTTGGGTAGAAATAAAATTATAATTTTAAAAATACTTTTACGGTATACAAAATAAATATATGAAAAAATTTATCTCGATTTACGAAAAAATACTTCTGAGAGGTATTTTTAGAGTTACCCAAACACCCCCTAGTCTAGTAAATACGCATAACTTGTTAGCTCAATACTCCATTTATTATAATATTTACATGTCCCCTCCTCCGCTCTACTCATTTATAACATTTGATTATTCTTTAACTAACTTCGTATATGATAACTTCACCGACGACCAGTCCAGTAGATCCGTACTACTGTGTGTGTGTGTGTACTAGTTAAATCTCTCAATAGCCAACAGCTCGATCAGAGGATGGCAAAACTGCCTCTGAATAGATACCCTTAATATGCATAAGGGCAGTTTGAGAAAAGAATTATAAATTTGAAAAACAATTAGGATATTATACTTATGATTCAAGGAGCGATTTTGGTTGTATTTACCAAAAATGAGACAACTTTCTTGTGGGTGATGATTTTTCCCCCCATTCACTAGATTTCAACTTAAACTAATAGACCGCATATACAAATATCTCCAATGCGTAAATGAACAGGACATGACTTCAAAAAATCGAGACCATTATTTGCAGATTTGCTGGAAAATGATTCTATACAAGCGCCCTGAAACTGTCCCTTTTTTAGATCCTATAAAATGACAACTGACAAGAGGCTACAGTGTGATTTCCTCGTAACTTTGAGAACTGGTAGAAAAACAATAATTGTTGCACAACATACCAATTTTTTTCAAAAAGTGATAAACGATATTCCTAATAATCTATAAATAATAAACCAGAACGTGATCCCAGAAACCACAGAGCTTCACATTATAGAACAGTTTGGCTGGGATTCAAGCATTTCAGGTGACCTGCAGAAAAAAAGGATGACATCAATTAGAGCCCATAATAAACACACATTACAGCAGAAGATCTGCAACACGGAAATTGGACACGCTCTATCTCTATGTGACTAAAAACAACAAAATAATAAAACTGATTTTGGCATGTCAGAGATTGCCATATGTGTGAGAGGACTGAGTATTAAATTATCAATTCAATAAGTAGAACTGTAGAACTACAAGAAGACTCTGCATGATACTTGAAATTCCATGAGTTCACCCCAAATTTTGGGCTGTAACAAGTTTCTTCCTTCCTTTCTTTGCTTTTTTTTTTTGGAATAAAAATTGGATCAACATAAAGCATAAAATTCATAGTAAGTTGTTCACAAGTACTTTAAATAGTGACTTATTTTTCAAACACCATGCGATCCACAGTGCCCACGTAGCTGTAGTTGTAGTAATCACAAAACGTTTCATTCAAGTTACCCCTAACAAATGCTTTTAATAACCTAAGTGGCAAATTTTCTGCTTGTTGATTCATGAATACAGCTTCCAAAAGGTTAAGAGTGTTGCCAAACCAAGCAAACAAGTGAACTCATGAGCAGAGAAACCAAATAGATGCTCTATACAGATTTTTTATTAAAAAAAAAAGCTCAAAACAATTAGCGCAATCTGATAGTACAAGGTAAATACAACTGAAAATCTCGGTCAACCACACATGGACCTAAGATGAGGTTAAGAAGAAAATGTGACTCGAGGACTTGTATAATGAAGGCAAAAACACTCTTTTGCTCTCAACTTTAGGGGTGAGTTTCAATTTGGTCCAAATGTCTTAATCCTAATAAGTGGAAAACAGTTACACTATTGCTCTCGTAAATTTCTGTCATGAAGGGAAAGAAAAGAAAAGAAACAGCAGAGTCAGAAGGCAATCGCAGGGCAGTTTTGGGTGACAGATGCAACAAGAGATCTTTTTCTTTCTTTTTTTTTTTTTGCCACCTCAGCATTTTCCAGCACAAATATGTAACTTTTTAAAAAGATGTAGCATAAAATTCAGTCAAATAAAATAGTTTGGCATAAAATTGAAACTTGACTTAAGAAAATGGGAACTCTAAAATAAATCAATGCATGTTTGAACTTTGAATATGGATGGCGGCCTGAATTTTAGTTTAAGGGATAAAGCTAATTGCTACAGTGCAATGAAGACCAACAAATACAGGAGGCTTCCATTTCCAATAGGCTGCAGACTACATAAATCTAAGCATACTTACAGCTGGCCAAGACTGTTCAAATCAAAATCAGGAGCAAGCTCTTGAACAATGTCATTAGGCGGTTGTCCACATTCTTGCATTTTCTGCATGAGCTCAAAAATCTTGTTGAAGTTTCCAGGCTCTTTCTCATAGACTTCATTAAGATTCTGTATCATCTCATACTGTTTTGAATAACGTTCAAATTCTTCTTTGCTTAGGCTACTTTTATGCTCTTCCAGCCACTTTGGATATCTTTCACCTATCTCTTTCATTGGTTCATGAAGAATTTCCTTAGACAGAAGTTGTTGCATCATGGTCTCCACAATAGAATCCATGTCCTACATGTCAATAAAATTATCAGTTTACTAATTCTGAACAAAAATGTAACAATGCTATGATGATAATTTGTAACACAAGAGTGCAAAAAGTGGTGAAGTAGGGACCACATAGTCAGCAACTAAGATATAATAAAATGGATTTGCCAATATATTGGAACACGCTACATGGTGAAATGCCCGTTTCTAACGAAGTGGCAATGAAGAGAAAAGTCCTATAGTAATATCCCTTCTTACAGAAAAAGGCAAAGATTTCCAGGTTTCACTGTTTGCTTTATTCAGATATCACACCATACTAATTGCTTGGACAAGCGGTTGTGAGAAATACGTGCCTGCATGGAAATTATGCTTTGGTTTCGCAAGATGCATCTGAATTTCCCATGTCACTTATATGATGTTTTCATTGCTATTTTTAATGGAATTCTCAACTTGTGCACATAAAAAGTAATCAATTCCTTTCTATATAAGCTTATCACTATTACAATATAAGGGAAGTTAGAATTAATAATTAAATGCAATAATCTTCAATTTGAATCATTTGCAATCACAAACATACGCATTTGAACATAAGGTACAGGTAAAGACATTTCATTTGGTATACTTGTTTTGCATCTCGAAAAGGCACAGAAAGACAAGGAGAATGCTTGAGCAGCAAGGTCAACAGTCCAAAGATTCAACATTATGCAATGTAAAAGAAACCAAAAGAATTCTGCTAGCTTTAACTATTCCGTAAAACAAGAGCATGCAAATTAAATATGAAAGGAAACCACAAAAATGAAGAAAAGAATTGCTACTCCAAAGGAACGACCACCCTTATTTTCATAGATAAACCAATTATAAATTTTCCTTAAGAGTGATTAGGAAAACCAGTTAAAGGAATGAAATGCAGAGAAAACATTGACTTGCTACAGTTTGATTACAGGTAAAATGAAAAAAATTGGACGCTGCAATAAGTGAAAGGAAAGAGAATGGAGTTGCCAAAGATGAACCAAGAATTCTTGAAATAGCCAAGAGGATTGCCATTTTCAAATTGTGTGACGAATTCTTGCTACCGGATGGCTAGGGCTCATAATCGGCAGAAACATTCTCAAATACCCAGTCCATGGACAACAATACTGTCCAAGTCCTCTATTCTGTACAGTTTCTAATTCTAAAGTCATGTTCTTCTAAGAAAGATTAAGAAGAAGCAACCCGCAAGTGCCTGAAAAACTCATCATTCATATTCACTTCATCGTTGTAATAAAATTAAAAAATCTCACATCAGGGTCCTCATAACTCAAATTGCTTACGCCATCACATTGAAAAATAGGTCTAAAGGTAAGCAATTATCATCCAAGATATGAAGATAACATGGAGGTTACCCGTGACCCAGCAAGGTCCTCAAACTGCTTCAACCAATCGTCCACAATTGCATCCTGACTCAAATCATCCCCACCAGGTTTCGATCCAGACACAAATTCAAGGCCCTTAACAGCCTCAACTGTTTGCTGTTTGAGTTTGTCAAGCGCCTCCGACACATGGGCATCCTTGGACACCTTTTGTTTCCCCTTCTTCTTACTTCTCAAATCAGGTAACCCCATGCCTAGTCCTTGAACTCCGGAAGGCAGAGAAGGAGTATAATCCTGTTTGTTCTCAGCTCCCGCTCCAGAACTACGAGCAAAAGAAAGTGAAGATTAGGAAATAAGCGACGACTAGCACGTCATCAAACATAGAGGCAAAGCAAAATGATAAAATAGGCACCTTTGAAGGCTAGAACTGACATTCAAGTTCTGGAAATCATCCAAAGCACCTTAAAAAAAGAAATTGAGAGACAAACTGTTAAGCCAAAAGCAAAACTGAGAGTGTCACAGAGAGAGCGGAGGATAGCAAGAGTCCTAACTATCGAGAAGTTGGTCCAAGTCATCGGCATGATTGTCGGCCATGGTTTCACCGAACTTACTCTCTCCCTCGGCAAAGGCAAAGAAGGGAGAGGCAAGCTGCAAAATCGGAAATATCAGGCGAGGCGACCGCCGTGTGACGATATAGAATCTGGTTGGCTTTCGTCAGACGGTGACGAGATCCAATGGCTGCGAACTACTCCGCGAACTACTAGTAGTGAATAGTGATACTGGAGAACTGAATACAATTGTATTTTTCAGATTTGTTCTCATTTTATACTATTTAATTTTCATATTTTATCATTTCTATTTTTTAATATTTAAAATAAAAATTTAAAATTTATTTTAATTTCTTAAAGTTAAAAATTAAAATAAGCAGATTTATTATTACTGAATTATTTCTTTGCCATCTTGCTACTACCAAATTAACTTTTCAAAAAATATATTAAATGGAAAGCAACTTTTCAAAAAAAAAAAAAAAACTCCACTAGTGAGGCTTGTGGAGAATTGATTTGGGTTATAATATTTAATTTATTTTAGAGTTAACTGAAGTTTGGCATTATTTTTGTCTTGATTCCAAAATTTAAAACTATTGGTATGGATCATTAAAAATTGACTTCATTTTGATCAACCTAAAATTTTGTGATTCTTAGTTGTACTAATGTTATGAGTGTGATTTCAAATTTTAGAGATCAAAATCAAGCTCAAATTTTAGTAGCTAAAAATGATATTGACTTTTTATTTTTTTATATTTATTATTGTTTAAACTAATTTATTTAACTTATAAATTGACATGTAATTTAATTTTGTATAAATATATTTTAGAGATCATATAGTATTTATTAAAAATTAAGTATTTAATTTAATTTTTTAATCTCTTTAAATTAATTAAATACCTCTTGCCTTAATAATAACAAGAGGAAAAATAATTTTAAACTAACCTCTCAAATAAAATTCAGTTGAACAATAGTCCGAGAAAGTGAAGATAGCTTTGGCCAAAAAAGAAAGAAAGTTAAGAGAGCAAACTTCGCAATATGTGCTTACATATAATATTGTATGTATTTATTTTAAAAAAGAGTTTTTTTTTTTATTTTGAATTAGAACAAGTACTGACAATATAAGATTATCACCAAATTCAAGTATAGTCAGCACTTATTTGCAATGGTTTATAAATGGTTTTTCAAACATAATTTATAGAATACAAAATAAATATGTTTTGTTTTGACTTATACAAAAAATATTTATAAGTACTTATTCACCGCAAATCCAAACGAACACTAAAACTTTATTTAAAATTAATCACATTTTACATAGACATAATTTTTATTATATATTTATTTCATATTTTATAAATTAAATTGAGGCTAAAGGGACATTTGGTTGATTGATTCTAAGTGATATTTGGAAATTTATTAAAACATGATTTTACCCAAAACAACATGAGAATTCAGTATCCACGCTTCGCCAGGCACGGCATCACCCCAACCAAATGCATCAACGGATATAACACTGTACGCGCCTCAAGCAGATATGGTCTGCAGCTGTGCGGCTACGCAAATGGCTGCCATGGCTGCTATTGCTGTAGCTCCCACGAGGCAACTTCGTCTCACTCCTTATACAGCCTTTCGTTATCTCTCATTCTACCGCAAACCAATCCCCATCCACCTTCCCAACCTCCCCACACCACTGCCTAAACCTATTATGTTTCGTTCCTATCCGTCTCCCGACTTCTCCCCGGAGATTCCCCGCCGACGATGCTTCTGCACTGTAATCAGCGGAGAGGCTGTCGAGACGACGAAGCAGGATGTTGTTCAAGATCGGAGGGGCCAAGTGGGTGGCAAAGTTGGAGAATTTCGGAAGAAGCTCAAGGTTGTCGATATAAAGAGTGGTCCTAATGAAGGCTTGGACTTCCTGGGGCAGACCTTGGTTGTGAAGGGATGGGTTCGAACTCTTCGGGTCCAAAGTAGCGTTACATTCGTAGAGGTAAGGGTGATTAATCGTCTCATTGTATTGGCCAAAGTCGTGGACTTTCTGAGGAACTTATATGAAGGAAACCTAAGAAATGGGAACTGGATGTAGATTCGCTATCAGGCATTATTGAATGTCGCATTCAATACTTCAACTTGGAAGACTTTTATTAACTATATAAATTATTAGCTTAGAGACATCCTCCGGTAATCCCGTCTGTAGAGAGGCCATTATAATCCATTGAACTGAATCCGCTGCATCATTGTTGCTTACTGTGGTCTACTTATATTTAGATTAACGATGGTTCATGCCTTTCAAACATGCAATGCGTGATGGACTCGGATGTCGAGGGATATGATCAGGTAAGATTATGAGCAAAAGGTTTGTCTTTTTGTTAAACAAGTGCTAAGACAAATTTTTCATTATTTTTAGTGGCGGGATTACGTTCTTTACAGTTTACATCCTCCTTGCTTGAATGCCAAATTAGTGTTTCAAAATGTCTCTGTAATAGTCTTGCTCCTGAATGAAATTTCAAATGAATTTAAATTGTAGAGCTAATTTGACTGAGTATGGGCAAACATTCTTGTTTTAAGAATCCAAAGTGTCCAAATCTTCTAGAATTGCTGAACTTCAATATGATTCTTAACTAATGGGGGGAAATTATATGGCCTTCATTAGAATGGTTTAACCACTGGATACATATGGTCCATTTGTTTGCAGTCAACTGTCACAGTTGTTTCTATGTGTTGGCCTGGCATGTTAATGTCAAATAAAAGAAGTGCATCTTTAACAAAACAAAGGGAAGCATTTGCTGATAACTAATAGGCATATGTTTATTTTTAGTAGTTCCACAAATGTCTGCAGTTTGTTACTATGATCCTGTTGATCAAAGATATGCAATAAAGTTCCTATTTGTGGGATTATTCATTCCATAAGGAATTTTTTTAATTTATTTTAAATATCTGGAGCTTATTATTAGGTAGAAACTGGCTCGATTACAACTGGTGCATCTATATGGGCGCAAGGCGTGGTGGTGAAGAGCCAAGGATCAAAGCAGAAGGTGGAATTGAAGGTCAAGAAAATAGTACTGGTTGGTGTTTCACTCGATCCTTTTAACATTCCCAAATATATTTGCTCTAATATATAGTTAAATGCTTTGCTGGCGGGATAATCTAACATTGAAACCATCATGGGCTATTTTCATATTCTAACAATCAACTTCATAGCCTGAATGTGCATATGTGAGTGTTTTTATGATGGCACTGACTCTGACAATCTCACATGCACATGTATAAGGGCTTTCTCAGGTATTCTGAAATTGCTTGTGAAAGTATTTGACTTTAAGCTCTGTGATTTTAGATCCTTTTGAACAATTCAATGTTAAACCATTGGATTAGGCCATTGAATCTGAGTCTTGGATTTTTGTTTCATTTATGTCAGTGTCAAAGATGACTAATCTTCATGGCAGAGCAATCTCATAGCTAAAAGTAGTAGCATAGATTTAAATGGTCATAGTTAATTTTCTCTTTCGCCTCTAGTGGACCTTCCTCTCATTTATCCTACCTATTTCTTATGCATTTGGGCTTCAAATTAGCAATGTCATGCAAATATCTTGTCTCACATGCTCAGATTGGCAAGAGTGATTCCTCATTTCCCATCCAAAAGAAAAGGGCTAGCAGAGAGTTTTTAAGAACAAAGGCACATCTTCGTCCAAGGACAAATACTTTTAGTGCGGTATGTCCCTCTCCCCCCCCCCCCAAATTTTTTTTTTTTTTTGCGTATTTAGTCAATAGCCTCTTCACATCTTTGCTTGATTTTGCATAAAATAACCATTAATTTATCTGCTTTGGTGATTTATGTTAAACTTTGTATCTATCTTTAAATTCATTGTATTATTCTTCTTGCTGCATTCTTCCTAATATGTGAGATCAGTTGATGCCAGGATGATGATATGAGCTGGATCTAAGCTTGCCAAATTTTATGTGGAATTATTGGTCATATTTGATTATATGTTGCATGTTTAGCATGCATAAAATCAACGTTGTTTGACTTTTGTTATCGACCATGGTGCCTCAAATCATTGTGACAGATTCAGTCAATGAATTTCTTATCCTAGGAAAGATAGGCGATTATTTAGTAATGGTGGGAAAAATACTGTCAGCTTTTATTATTATTTTTATTTATTGGTGCAAAATGGTTTCAGGTTGCAAGGGTTAGGAATACATTAGCCTATGCTACACACAAGTTCTTCCAAGAAAATGGATTTGTGTGGGTTTCAAGTCCTATTATCACAGCCTCAGATTGTGAGGGGGCAGGTGAACAGTTTTGTGTGACTACCTTGGTATGTGCTGTGCCATCTAAGGGTTCGTCTAATATGAATATTTTTATTGAATGATTTGCGGTACTGCTCTACATTGTACTTTGGGTGTACAGATCCCATACCCTTCCCAAACACAAAAAATAAACTTCATAAACAAAATGTTTGTTGCTAAATCCTGCTTATGTGGAAAGGAAGGCATGTAATCCGTGTGATTATGAAGCAAACTAAAATACGGCCAAGCATCTGAAAAAAAGGGATGTAAAAAATTAGTATAAAATCAAGTGAGAAACTATCATTTTAATGTGGAAAAATATCATTGGGGGAATGACACTTAGGTCCCAGAAGATCAATTTAACAACAGGTAGGTTTTAAAAGATTTTTCTGGAAGATGAGTTGCAAATATTGATTTAGATGTTGCAAATATGAGAATCTCAGTTGCAAACCAAACATTTAAGTCTCATAGGTAACTCCTGTTGATTTACAACAAAAATTCCATATTTGCAACTATTTGAATCTGTCCTTTCAACTCATATTTTGGCAAAATATTGAGACTTAATTGTTATTAATTTGAACTTTTAAGACTTAACTGTCATTCCTCCAGCATTATTTTTCCAAAATTCTGTGGTGGTGTAGTTTTAAAGGACAAATCTTCAATGTTGTCAATCTGGGTTGGCAACATGAGTTATAGGTCTACTGATCTCATGCAATCAGCATTATTTTATTAATCCTTCTGTTGTGTGATCTGTGCCTTCACCTTTTGATAGTATGTGCTTGTTATTTTGTTTTTTCACTGCATGTAGCATTCATTCAATAACTTCACTCAATGAAGGAGATTAGTTTCAAAATAACGAAAGATAGTGCTACTTCTTCATTCTCAATTTCTTTTTAATCTGATTAGTATCTTAAATTTTACAGATACCAAATTCTCAAGAAACTGCTGATTCTCCTGTTGATGCCATTCCACAATCAATAACAGATTAATTGACTGGTCTCAAGTGAGTGAGATCTATTCTCTTTGGGTTTCCCTGATGAATAAGCTTGCAACGTGAATATTGAAGTCCAATGGTTCTAATGCTGACCATTTTTTATGCATCAGGACTTCTTTGGTAAACCAGCATTCTTGACTGTCTCAGGCCAACTTAATGGTGAAGCGTATGCTACTGCTCTTACTGATGTACACACATAACTCCATTTTCTTAAAAAATATTGTAATTTTTTTTGTTATTCTGAGTAGAATTGGCAATTTAAATGAACTTTGAATATTGTAATCATTTAGGTTTATACTTTTGGTCCCACGTTCCGAGCAGAGAATTCTAACACTTCCAGACACTTGGCCGAATTTTGGGTTAGTGATTTCTGATTTCTTTGAGTCCAATATAAATGAGCGTGAACTCTTCCAGGGACTATCCTGAGAATGTATTCCTTTTTGCTTCTAATCCTCGCTTTTCCTGTTTTACTTCCTCTAGCCATGCATGTATAATGAAACTAATATCAAGATGTGTCTTATCCCCCCCCCCCCTCTCAAGATGATTGAACCAGAACTTGCATTTGCTGATCTAAATGATGACATGGCCTGTGCAACTGCCTATCTACAGTATGTAGTATGTTATCCTTCATAACTATTATAAAGTTTGGGCAAGCTCTACAATATTATTTGTTCATATTAAAGATTGTTGATAAATATATTTATTTCTTGAAGGTAAAATATGTTCTAGACAACTGCAAGGAGGATATGGATTTTTTCAATACATGGATTGAGAAAGGAATCATTGATCGCTTGAGTGTATGAGTTTTCAGTGTAACCGTCTTATTGCTGTTCTTTATCTGATGTTTTGATTGTACATCTTAACACTAATCATCAACATGCCCTGATAACTCTGTTGTTCTTCCATTCTTGTGAAAAGGATGTAGCAGATAAAGACTTTGCACAAATAACCTACACTGAAGCAATAGATCTGCTTTTGGGAGCAAAGAAGAAATTTGAATTCCCGGTAACTTATAATTATTTATTTATCATTTGCAATAACCTTTTGCTACTTATTTATTATTCTTAAATCCATATCTGCTTCTTGCTGGCATGTCCCATCGCAAGGCTTTATAATTTTCACGTTCCAGTTGCTTCCAAGTGATGCATCCAATCTCTTCTACTATTTTCCTTTTGTAGGTAAAATGGGGATGTGATCTGCAGAGCGAGCATGAGCGTTATATAACTGAAGAGGCGTTTGCTGGATGCCCTGTTATAATCAGAGACTATCCTAAGGCAGGCTACTCTTCCCCTATTTTCTTCGCACATTAAAACTCCCAAGGTGGGCTTAATTGACTGAGAAAATTTAGTGTTAGGTGAGAATATTTTACCAAAATTAGGCCCTGCCTTCCTACCCATCCTCCACTTCTATATTTTTTTGCTACATCTCTCTTGTAAAAGCTATGAGAGGATTAACAATGCAAATTCTTCCCTCAGAGGGGTTTTGGACTTTGGTTTCTCAACATTATATGACATAATACTGCTATACATGTATATTTACTTTGTGCTGAAGTTTTCGGATGGAACATTCTCAGGATATCAAAGCATTCTACATGCGGCAGAATGATGATGGAAAGACAGTTGCTGCAATGGATATGCTAGTTCCAAAGGTAAATTTTATATTCTCTCTTCTGGTGTTGTTGCCATTGAACAGCATGTCTTGGCTTTATTTGAAAGTAATTCTGATTCAAGCTTGGAAATACTGACATAAAATTGGAAGTACTCCTTTGGTCCTTAATGTAAGATCTAATTAACTAATTTAAGTAAATTAAGGATATTAGTTAATATGATATGTTTTTTTCTAAAACACCCTAAGCATCTTTTTCCATTCTCTCCCTTCCTTCCTCTTCTACTTGATCACTGTTGAGACAATATCAATAGGGTTAATTTGAGGAAAAAAAATTGATAAACATGTGAAATAAGTCTTACATATAGAACCGACATCAACTCCCCAATTAGGTCCTATATTAAGGACAGAAGGAGAATATTATATGAGCATTGACCAACACCACCTTCCCATCTATTGCAAATGTGAGGATGCAGACATGTGATCGATAATACATGGGGTATCACCATAGTATTTAATTATTTGATTGCCAGTTAGGAATGACTTTATGACTTTTTCTTTGGTCAGATTGGTGAAATTATTGGGGGAAGCCAAAGAGAAGAACGTCTTGAGCTTTTAGAAGCTCGTCTGGATGACTTAAAGCTGAATAAGGATGCATATTGTTGGTATCTCGATTTGCGCCGATACGGTTCTGGTAAGAAATCTTTCCCTTTTAGCATATGTTAATCGGTCATAAATCATAAATCAAATCATTTGACCTTCCCTTCCAAATTTTAAGCATCCTCCTTATAAGCTCCCCTCCTCCCCTTCTTCCTCCATGGCATTGTCTTCTCAGAACTCTTGGCATGATCAATTCCGCAGAGCTTATACACCGAAACTAATGTCCTTTATAATACATGTATTTATATTTATATTTATATTTATATTTATGTATATATCAAAGAAAATCACTATGCTCGTACTGATAAATGATTAAACTCATGCACTGATACAGGCTGACACCATATCTCCTTGTTTGCAGTACCTCATGCGGGATTTGGTTTGGGCTTTGAAAGGCTTGTGCAATTTGCAACAGGGATGGACAATATACGGGATGTGATCCCTTTTCCTCGAACTCCTGGTTCTGCCGAATTCTAGAAGTGAACTTGCAGATATTTGAAGCACTGATCTTTCTACCCTAATTTTCATGTAAAATTTAAATGTTATGTTGAGACATTTGAGTCTCTTGCATCCACTTGAAGTATCCTTGATATTTTGCGAGGAAGAAACTTGGATATTAGAGTGGATGTTCTGATAAATGCTTTTGTACGTTTAGAAGTTATAGTAATGTTATAATTGATTATTTTTTGAAGTGATAAAGATGTAATACTGTGTTTTTGTTTGCACGTTATGATATTGCGTGTCAAAGTTGAATGTAAGTGAACTTTATTCTTTCTGAATTATACATGCAGGACTGGCTTGCTAAGAGTCTATTCTATTATAAAGACCATTCTACTTCTGAAAAATATTTTGCGGGAAAATTAATCAGAGGTCTCAATAAGAAAATTAAATATAGAGAAGTCTCAAGAAATTCATTTATGACATAATATATATATATATATATATATATATATGTAAGTTTCACTTGCAAGCATACATTGTTAAATTTGATTTATAAATGTTCAAACTTCTGGAATTATTCTGTATTTAGTTTTCTTGCATTGGATTTATGAGTACTTCTTCCTATTTTATGATAGAAAAGTGCTCAGTTAATTTTTCTGTTAAAGATATGATCAATTTTTTGAAAATTAAAATAACAAAGCAAAAAGAAAGAACGATCCTTAATGCAAAACCAATTGAGGAGTTAATGTTCATTCTCTATGTAAGAAATATTTCACATATTTATTTATTTTTTCAAATTAACCCTATTAACATTCTCCAACAATAAAAGAGGGAGGGAGGGAATTAAGAAAAATATTTAGGATATTATAAAAGGAACATATCATATTAAATAATTTAATTAATATTTTTAATCTACTCAAATTAGTTATTTAAATCATGCATTAACAACCAGAGAAGTAATAAATTTAGCATCCATAATAAAAAACGATATCTAATTTTGTACCCAGAGGGAGATGCCATGCATGCGTCTGTAGAACATTTGAGAACAAGAGAAGAGGACTCTTAAAACATAAAGAAAGGAAAGATACTTTTCTCTCTCTTGGTTTTCGTGCCACTATGTTTTCGAACCTCATGGGAGAGCCCTGTTGCTGGAAAATACCACCTAATCGGGAGCTGGAAGACAGCAAAATAATAACGAACGCAAAAAAAATCAAAGAAGGAAGTAAAAGAGGACACTCTAATGTCGGATAAGATGGAGGACGCTGAAGGGTGCTTTGAGGAAGAGCAAACTAGAGATACCCCCCCCAGTCAGAAAACAACTCCAGTTTCGTACAGGGATTTGTTGCTGGGCTGCAAAAGGCAAGGTTTTAATGGAATAGCCAATGGGAGTTATGGAATGGAAGAAGATACGCTAATCTCGGATGTCCTGGACCAAACGTGGAGTCTACCAGAACCATCAGATGAAATAAAAAAGATGATGGAGGTGTATCCAGTGATGCTAATAACTGAGGAAAAATTCAACGAAGAATGCAAAAAGTGGAACAATGCCTTAATTATCACAGTACTGGGAGCAAAATTAAATCTATTTAGGCTCAAGGATCATCTGGGCAGAATCTGGGGATTTAATGACTTTGAACTAATTGATTTACCGAACAACTACTTCGTGGTTCGTTTCAGCAATGACGAGAGCTGGGGGAAAATACAAGCGTGTGCTGTTTGAAGGCCCTTGGGTAGTGGCACAGCACAGTATCCTGGTACAAAAATGGTCACCCTACTTTGATTCGTTCCACAATCCTTTGGGAAGAATTGCTACTTGGGTGAGAATCCCGAACATTCCATTACATTGCTATTCGAAGAAGTTCATATGGAGAATTGGCGATATGATAGGAAGGACGCTCCGGGTAGACATGAACACTATCGCAAACCTGGAAAAAGACAGAGCCAAGGTGGAGCGCGGCAGATTCGCACGTATTTGTATAGAGATCAATTTACAAAAGAAACTGGTTCCTCGAATCATCTGCACCTCTGCCCTGTTCAATGTGGAATATGAGGGGCTGAAACTCATCTACTTTGGGTGTGGGAGGTATGGACACACAAGTGAAACTTGCTCTTGGAAACCGAGCGCTCAGTCCTCAGACGCGACGTCACCGCAGCCCAAAGCTCCGCCGCGAATGTCGCCGGAAGACGAACATTTCAGTCCCTGGATGTTCGTGAAAGGAACCAGTAAAGCACGCTCCTCGAGGACTGACAAGGACAAGGAGAAAATGTCAAACTCAAGTCAAAAACTGAAGTTAGACAAGAAAGGAAGCATGGGTACCTACAAGTCGAAATTTGCAACTATAGCAGACCTTGAAGAGGAAGAAGATGTATCACCAGAGCTGGCTAGTAGTGTTTCGGGAGACCCCAACACGCTCCCCAATAGACAGTGAGCACTGGCCATATATGAAGGAAAGGCAGGTGGACAGAGTAGATAGATGACAGCACCTAGCACTAAAGGCAAAGCAAAGCAGAAGCCAAACCTGAAAACGGTATCCAATCCTTTGGGTCGTGGGAAAGAAAATATGAGGTCCACAAGACTAGAAATCCAAGAGAATCCCAACGGAGCAAAAACGGGTTTCAGGGAAGCCCGCAAGATCCAAGTTGACAAACCCAAACCCAACCAAAAAACATTGGGCCAACAGACACATTCAGTGGTGAGTGGAGACCTTAATTCTACTGTGACCAGAATCATTGTTGACCAGAATAAGCAGGCTAGTCTTGAGTTTCTTAAAGATGCGGCACATGTTGGGGAAACAAGTAATAGTCATGGTATAGCATCCAGTACCGGCACTGGAAACATGGTAGGAGTGACAGAGGACCAGGCAGGAGCAATAATCATTCATGATGCAACAGAGGTCGGTGATAATCCGGGTAATACAGAGTCCCCACAGCAAACTGCGATAAGCAGAATGGAAGTTTCAATGGGAGAGGAGAACAAACCTCCGGATCTGTAAGCCTTTCTTCTCACGCCCTCCTTTAAATCCGTTTTAATGATAATCTCTTCTTGGAACTGCCGTGGGGCGGGTAGCAGATCCTTCCCACTGTTACTGAAAGATATAACAAAGAAATATGGCATACAAGTTATGGAATGACTGGGAAGCTTCAGTGGATTACATCTGGTCAACTACACAACTGTTACATTGCAGAATTATTGACAAGGCCTCAGGGAGAAGTGTGTTTGTCACTTTTGTGTATGGTGATACATCAGTAATTAAAAGGAAATCCCTCTGGGACTCTCTGAGGACGCTAGCAAGAACTATTGACCATGGTTGGCTTGTCCTGGGTGATTTCAATTCGTACCTTAATCCTAAAGATAAGATAGGAGGAGCACCCCCTGGTAATCAGACGATGTCGCATTTTAGAACTTGCCTAAACTCTTGTGATTTGTTGGAACTGCCGGTTGTTGGGGATAAGTTTACGTGGGAGAGAGAAGGAGTCAGAGAAAGATTGGATTGGGCCTTTTGCAACTTTGATTGGGAGATCTCTCATCCTCATTTTAAATGCTTTCACCAACTCAGGTTTAAATCTGATCATCGAGTCATTATGGTCACTGGTGAAAATACTCCCATAAAGAGTGGACCGCATCCCTTCATGTATCAGGCAGCTTGGTGCCTGGAGGAGGATTTCAAAGACCTAGTTAGATGTTCTTGGGAGAACAGGCATTGGCAGGAAGGACAACAAGTCTTTAGGAAGCGGGCAATGACCTGGAATGAGAAAAAAGTGGGGAATATTCCCAAAAAGAAAAAGGAAATTATTCGAAGGCTGGAGGACATTGACAGGGTAAGGAACACGAGCACTTGTAATAGGCTGGCTAGACTGGAACAGAAACTCTGGCGCGATTATAGCAAATTAAATCAGCAAGAGGAAATAATCTGGTTTCAGAAATCTAGGTGCCAGTGGATCCAGTTTGGTGACAGGAACTCCAGTTTTTTCCATGCAACCTGTGTGATGAAGAGAAAAAGAAACAGGATTGAAGCTCTGGAAGACAACTGTGGGAATTGGGTGACAGATCAGGAGGGTATGAGAAGCTTGGCATTAGAGTTTTACAGGAACCTATACACCAGAGACCCAAGTGTCAGATTGGTGAATACTTGGCCAGTGAACTTTCCTTCACTTACGGCGGAACAGCTCAATGTCATTCAAAGGGACCTGTCTACAATTGAAATTAAGAACGCAGCGTTCGAGATAGGAGCCTTTAAAGCACCAGGTCCAAATGGCTAGCATGCGCACTTCTTCCAATCTCGATGCGTAATAGTGGGCTCTAAAATCTGCTCTCTAATAGCCAATATGTTCAAAGATCCCTCAACAATAAAGGAGATTAATCAAACAAAAATTGTACTGGTCTCGAAAAAAGACCACCCGACCCGCCTGAAAGACTTTAGGCCCATCTCTTTGTGCAACGTCTGCTATAAGATACTGAGCAAAGTGATAACCAACAAAATCAAGGGGGTGATGGATATCTTGGTGAAACCAAACCAAAGCAGTTTTATCAAGGGTAGGCAGAGCTGCGATAATATCATCATTGGCCATCCATACCATGAGAACTAAAAGAGGTGGAAAAGGCTTTGTGGCAGTCAAGGTTGACATGGAAAAAGCTTATGACAGGCTGGATTGGAATTTTCTCAGGTTCACTTGGGAAAGCATAGGATTCAAGGAGGAGTTTATTCAGATCTTGATGTGTTGTGTGTCAACGGCTAAGATGCAGTTGTCCTGGAATGGTACTCATTCTGAAGACTTCTTTCCAAGTAGAGGTGTGAGGCAGCGTGACCCGCTCAGCCCTTATCTATTTGTTCTCTGTATGGAAAGATTGGGACAGCTGATTGACGTTGAAGTAAGACAAGGGAACTGGAAACCTATGGTTTTAAGTAGTCAAGGACCTATGATATCCCATCTCTTCTCCGTGGATGATCTGGTTCTGTTTAGTGAAGCCTCTGAGGAGCAAATGGCAGAAATCAGGAAGGTGATGTCGTTTTTCTATGAGGTTTCGGGTCATAATATAAACCTTCAAAAATCCAAAGCTTTTGTTTCAACAAATGTCCATGCTACCAGAGCTAATACCTACAGTCAGTTGCTAGGTATAAATTTGACAGCGGATTTGGGGAAGTATTTAGGAGTGCTGATTTTACACAAAAGGGCATCAAAGCGACCTATGCGCCAATTTTACAAAAAGTCAATCAGAAACTGGCAAAATGGAAAGGCAGATATCTTAGCATGGCAGGAAGATCCGTCCTTATCAAGTCGGTGCTCTCCTCCTTACCGTTCTACCAAATGCAAACCCTGCTACTCCCAGTTGGGGTCCCTCAGGAGATTGAGAAGCTAAGTAGGGAGTTCTTCTGGAGGCAAGATCCAAATATGAAAAAAATGCATCTCATATCTTGGAAGACCATCAAGAGCGACAAGAAGATAGGGGGCCTTGATATCTGTGATCTACGTTGCCAGAACCTTGCTTTCATCATGAAGCTCTGCTGGATGCTCCTAACTAGACTAGAGTTGCTTTGGGTCCAATGTCTCAGGACCAAGTATCTCTATGGATCGGGCACATATCCTATAGTAGAGAAAAAGATAAATCAATCAGCTGTTTGGCAAGCCATTGTTTTAGTATGGGAGAAATTTATCACGGGGATCAGTAGGAAGATAAATAACAGCAGAACCATAAAAGCTTGGAGTGAGCTTTAGACCCCACTTGATAGACTACTGGTGCAATACATTGATAGGAATTTTCACCTTGTGGACCCTGAAGATACAGTTGTCAATTTTGTCGTAAGTAATGGAAGCTGGAATTTAGACAAGTGGAAAGAGGTACTACCAAGCTGGGTCATCCAGAAAATCAGATCAGTACAACCCCCCCGACAAGTAGAAAATGACTCTTTCTTTTGGAGATTGTCGAATGATGGCTTCTTCAGTGTTAAAAGTGCTTATCGCTTCATCAAAAATGAAAGCAGTTAGTCGGCTAACAATCAATGGCATGATTTCTAGTGATGGGGCATACCTGAGAGAATAAAATTCTTCCTGTGGCAGGTCATACACGAGAGAATTCCCACAAATTCCATTAGAGCGAAACACTGTCAGAATACTCCTACTGAGTGTCCCTTCGAGTGTAACAGTGAGGAAACCATAATTCATGCCTTGAGAGATTGTGAGTTTGCAAAAAGTGTATGGCTTTTTATTATTAACCCCCAACATATTCCCGTGTTTTTTAGTGGAAATCTGCAGGTATGGCTGAAGCGGACCCGAAGACCAAATCTAGTAGCACGCAGAGTCGCACGGTGGCCATGGCACAGTGTCTTTGCAACGGCCTGTTGGTTAATATGGAAAAACAGGTGCAACAAAGCCTTTGGGGATGTACATCGATAGACAGGGGAGGTCTACCGCCAATGCCTACATCACTGCATGGAAGGAGTGGAAAACAGTAGACTAAAGCATCAAATATATCAGACCCCTGCTAGAGAAGAGTGTAGATGGACAGCACCACCACAAGGCTTCATCAGAATAGACGTTGATGGATCAGTCACGGCACAGAAACATGGAGCTTGTGGAGGAGTCATTCGAAATGAACAAGGCTAATGGCTTATGGGTTTTCAAAGAAGCTTAGGATTCACATCAACAGCAACAGCAGAGGTCCACGCGATCTATGAAGGCCTGCTTATATGCAAAGAAATGCAACTAACACAAATCAAGCTTCACACAGATTCTATGGTGGCGGTGAATCTTGTGATGTGGGACTGCAGAAGCACACACCCATTGGAAGGTATGGTGGAGGATATAAGAGCCCTTGTTTTTTCCTGCTGGGATCTCGAGATCATCCACACGTACAGAGAAGCACTCAAATGTGCTAATAACCTTGCCAGAGATGCTCATAATGTTAGCAACAATAAAATTCATCTCCAGGAACCTCTCGCTATATGCGTAGATCAATTGAGAATTGACTAGGAGAGCTCCAACCCGGGAGCGGCGTCGCCCGTAGCTAATGTCTGTGTTTGATTAAACTTCCCAAGCGTTAAGCTTGCCTTGTAATTCAAAAAAAAAGAAAAGAAGAGGACTCTTAAGTCTCTAATTGATAAATTAAATTCAATTTCATAAATGAGACAGATTCAAAAGGTACAAGCTTTTATTTTTCAAAATTTCATACACTAATCTTTTGTCCTTGATCTGTTGAGGCCATATTCTCTCCTCGAGGGGCCTTGTGTAATTTTAATAAAATGAACAAATGAACTGTACTACTCTCCTAAGCAGACCCTCTATCCCTCCTTTTCTGTAAACACTAGTTCCTTGAGCATGAGATGAGCGGCCCAACTCCCTTGGCATGTAAAATTCAAAATCTAACATCAAGTGAGCCAACCATAATCAATCATACATTTCCATTTAGGACTTGAGGACCCAAAAAAATTGACAAAATATATAAAAGAAATGAAAAGTGGAAGAAGAGCGGCAGAAGGGGGGGAAAAAGGACGTCTGCTTCTTCATGAACTCCACTTGATGCATCCCACGATGCTCATATGCATAAGCGGTGTCTCAACTATTCCGGTGATTAAAGCAAAATTTGATATTTACAGCTGTATTATCTGTTTAAAGATGATCCTCATGGAGATCTACGCCAAAGCTCCCATTATGGCGAACTGAAGGCTCATCTGGCATAAAGCTTGATGGCATCATCCCCAAAGCTTCCCCTAGAGGCCTAGTTTCACCAACCTTTGGAGGGCTAAAAGAACCAGCAAAACTTACACCACCCCACGAGGCTGTTCGACGAGAACGAGGGGTTTGAGAATCAGTGCCATTTGGCGCCACACCATTATTTCGGATGTTATTCAAGCTAGGAAACCTCTGCATGGCCCTTGATGTATTAATGGGGGGTTGAAATGAATCATGCACGACAGATGGTGATGGATCATCATTAGCTGCACTATCTTCTTGATTGCTTTCTGCTGCAGACGCCATTGTCTGCTCATTTGACGAAGGTGCTGGCGCAGGAATGAAAAATTTTGCATTGGTAGGAATAGCAGGCTTGACAGATGGAAGAGAAGGAGACTGAAACAAATTTGCAGAGGTCCCCCCACCTTGGTTGAAGGTATCAACATACCTGCATAGGCCATAAGCAGTTTCATCAAGTTCATTTGCCTTTCAATGCTGTCGAAGACTAACAAATTATGGAAAAGAAACCCTTCACTCATTTTTGGAAAATGAGGAGGCTACCCAGAAGTGGCGGCACCTAAATACTTGTGCTACTTGCGCATTTTAGTTAAATTGAATGTAACTTTCTCAGACCGGGTAAAACAAACTACATCTTAAGAAGCAATTATGATAGCTTCATCATTTTAAGTTCTATGAGTCTTGTAATTTCTCAAGATTCTTTAGTTTCACGTTCTTTTAAATACAATAGAATAACCAACAAGAATTCAGTAAACAATATGCTGGCCGCAAAAGAAAAGGTAAACAATATAGACCAATCAAAACAAAGCTGATCCTAGCTGGCAACTACAACATGATCATAAGAAGATTTGAAGTCATCACCTTGAACGAACACCCATGCGTCCACGGGCAGAAAATTGATTTGAGCTAGGTGGCATTGGCGGAATCCCTGGAGTATGTTCAGGAGTGGAAGTTCTTAAATCAGAACCCTCATTAGAGGGCGATCCTTCCGTCTTCAATGCAGATTTCAAGTCATACTCAGTTTTAGGACTCTGGAAAGCAGCAGCAGTTGGAGGTGGTGGCAGTGCCGCTTCTTCAGCTGGAGGTTCAGCACCCTCCTCTACCCATCTCTTCAGCTTTTCATCGTAATAAAATTTGTTCTCCTCACCCAGTTTAGCCTGCATATAGTCCGTAAGAAACATTTGAATATATACTGTCCAAGCATTGTTGAAAAGATGGGTCAACATTGCAAAATATGCCATGCATAAAATGATACCTGCCGACCAGGGCGTGGTCTCAGGAGCCCCACTGTCTTCTGGAACAGCTGTGAGCCAAAACCAAAACGAGAAAAGCGAGATGTACCCCCTGAAACTGATGCTTTGCTTGCATCAGCTGAGGCTGCTTCCTGTGATGAACCAAAATGATTTTTTCCTCAAGTTCAAACACATAAATGAAAGGCAGTCTAACACAATCTAGAGAAAGCAAAATAATCCCCAGACTAAACCATAGAGAAGTAATCACACCTGTCTAGGCCTCCTACCAAAGTCTGGTTCTGAAACGCTTCTGTTAGTCTTAGTCATTCTATTGCCATCAGCTGTCCCCTCACTTACTGGTTCCATTGAAGCAGATGGAAGTAATGATGACATGGCCATTGTTGATTGGCTATTGAATACTCTTGAGGCTATATGCTGGCGGTGTTGCTCATTTCCATGAACACTTCCATGTGATGATGATGGAGCAAGTGGTGGGGGACCACCAACAACTTATGTGCAGTACTATCAAAAAAGTTTAACAATTTGTCCACCAATTTCGCAGGAGCCAAATTTGCAGCATATCCACCCTGTAAATTCATTCTCAGGTTAAAAAGAAACAAGGCTGTCCAGTAACCAAATGACAAAAATTCTATGAAGGGCAAGAGATTACCTGCTGGTGGGTTCTAAGCCTCTCTTCAAGAGAAAACAGCAACTGTTTCCAATTCTCTACTTCCGGTGCACCGCTAAATCTTAGAGATTTCAATAATGCCTGGCAATATCTGACGTTAACATGTACATGAGAAGACAGAATATGCAAAACATAACATCACACTATGTTTTATGAACTTACTTTAAAGAGTCTGAAACTTTGCCCACTTCAGCTAGCATATATGCATATATGAGCTTATACGGCTGAAATGGAAGTAAAATAAACAGAGAGTTTCCAAGCACCTTTGAATATTCATATAACTCAGTCCTCTGTGAAAGTTGCCACCAGGAAAGATAAATTAGAGTTTTCCCAGAAGCATGTACTGACTCATATTGAATATTATATTTTTTGGGAAAGCCAGATATACTAAGGTGGCACAAGTGAGCTACAACTAAGATTATTTTAATATAGAAGGTTGATAGAAAAAACCTATCACATTGATTTTAAGATAAACATAGGATTACAAATCTGCAAGTCTATTCAGGAGATGTGAATCCTATTTCTAAGGCAAGCAGTTAAGTAAAAATTATGGAAGAGCCTAGTTTGTACCTCCATCCCAAAGAGTTGAAGCGATCAAGGGATCAATGAACTTGAGCGTGTCTGGTTTTTTTGGGGGGGGGGGGGGTGAGGGGGAGCTATAAGCATCTGGAAAATAGCATACTGATGACTCCCCATTTTTAGTTAGATCTGAGATATAATTTGGTGCATTTAGGGAGTCATCAAGGCAAAAGAAACGGGATTTATTTGAGTTTTTGAAAAGAGATTAATTATGTGCATCATTTAAGGATTTCATTGTAAATAATATAATTTTTAAACAAAAATAGAAATAGTTGAGTTTAGGATAAAATAAATAATAATGATGTACAATTCTGAAATTAAAAAAAAAAGAGAAAAAAATTAGTTTACTTTACTTTATTTTAATTTCTTCTCTTTTCCTTTTATTTGTTTCTTTTTCATTTCTCCAACAGCAATACAACACCGTGGGGGATGAATGGGGTATGATTTAACTTAAGACGGGGAGAGAACTAAGGACGCTGAAGAGGCAGCCATAGTTCATCCTCTTCAAGGACAAGTTTGGAGATTTATTTCATCATCTTCATCCAAGGAAAGAGGAGGAGGAAGGAGGCTCGATTAGTATTCTGCTTGGGAAAAGAGAGACGCCAACACTGTTCCTCAGAGCGACTGGTTTTTTAGGGGAGCACTCAGAGAGTTCTTCAGCATATCTTCTTCATGGAATCCAAGCTGCAATAAGTTTGAAGAGAGGAGAGGAGCTCAACAGGCCGAGACTGTTCTGGAGTTTGGGAGACAGACTGAAGTAGAAGAGAGCTGGATTGAGCACACTGTTTCTGTCTTTGTTCTTCTTCCTAAATCTTCCGTTTTGATTCTCTTTTATTCTTCATTTCTCTATGCTGTTTTATTCTAAACTTTCCTGGGCTGCTGTGAATTTGATTTTATTTATGTTTGGGTTGCTCTATATTTTGTTCATGAGAATGTCGAATTTATTTAGTTAACCCTTTGCAATGGATTGTTGTGGTTTGATTATGGATTAGTAGATGATAATTTCACACTTTACTTGCTTTAATGCGCTGTTTGATGATTCAATTGTGTGCTTGATTGTTTTGAAAGATGAGAAATTTGATTGTGACTCTTTTTTTTTTTTTTTTGGGGTGTGTAAAGGAGCCTAGACATAGGGAATTTAGACTAGACCTTCAATCGAATCCCGTACGACTGAGTATTCGAGCACCAAATACCTTGATTTGCTTATAGGATAGAAAAGTAACTATCGACCCTACATAGTCACATTAGGCTTCTACTTTATGTAGCCTGTTTAAGTAATCACCTATGGAATTAGGGATTGACATAATTGGGATGCCTTTTAGGGAATTGAAAGATGGTCTAGGTAATTAGGAGTCCTAGCCTAGCAAACATAACTCTAACTGCAATTAAGGGGAGAAATTAGACACTAAAAAGCAATCAAGACTAAAATAATCCAAGTCACAACTCAAGTAGTTTAGACTCACTCTTAGCATTAGCATCTATAGTTTAGATTTGCTTTATCATTCTAAGATTTTATTTCTGTCTTATCTTTGTTTCAAATTGTGTTTTTCTCAAATTAAGCAAAAGTATGACATTGATGCTCAACCAGGCTGTTGGTACCAAATTCCCATGGGAAAGATACTTCATTCACTCTTTACTACTTGATACTGCTCGTGCACTTGCGAAATAGATTTCATATTTTGAGCCTATCACACACAAAACATGTCAAAATCCAAACCTGTGCACATCCAACAGAAAATCCAATTTTTTTTCTCGGGGCCAATAATAGAAGTTTAATAAACCTGGATAGCCTCTGGACTAGCATAAGTTCGGGGAAATTTCCAGTGATCTGCTCCGACTAAACACAATCTTGCACTGTCGGAGTATGACTCGAAGTTGGCTTCAGCAACTAAATAGCAGATGTGTGCAGCAGTAATCTAAGATATGAGTATCAAATCAGAAGCAGAATTCAAAAAAAAAATAAAAAACAAAAAAGGAATTCGTCTTACAAATAAAGCAAGCATGTGTATCTTCAATCAGAAAACGAACATGATTGAGAACAATTATACCTCACTTCTTTCCCTCCACAGGCAGTCACCAAGATGAATAATTACAAGTTCGTCACCTTTTGTTCTGTTTGCAGTTATTACAGCCAAATTCTCCTCCCAATCATCAAGCATGCCATTAGATCCAACCTGAAATTTGAGACAAAAAGCAAAAGTATGAGCTTCTCTAGTCAATTCAAACAAGAATCTTTGCAATTATCAAACATAAGAGTAAGAACAGATCATGATTGCATTATAGCCTTCCCATGGCTTAAAATCTCGTTCTGTTTAGATCACCTGTGCAGGATGCTGAGGTACATTAGCAACACCAGGATGCCCGCTAACAGAGGTGTCACCAGAGAAGACTTCAGCTGGTTGCCCTGCAATTAGAAGGCATAATGTACGCAGCGGAGACCCTGCAACCAGTTGGCGAAGTGCCATTTGCTTCACCGTATCAACATAGAACTGCATTGCAAAGACGCAGCCATTTTTACACCCCAAATCATGGCAGGGTTAAGAAAAGACTGTAAGACATACTAAGAAATTGTCTGGGTAATATATTTCAGCATCAGTAGCAGTTTTCAACACTCAAAAAATGGACAGCTGACCTGATCACCAAGTTGTGAGGCAAGAACAATAGCAGGTCCCCACAATTGACCTTCTTGTGCACATTGTAAGGCCTCCTCCTTTTTTCCAGAGACAAGAAGATTTTGCACCTCAGAAGCAGTTGCCTATGCAAAAATTCAAACGAGTCAAAAGAAACTGACTTGAAAACTAAGGGGAAAGAAAGAGCTCAGGAGTTGACTTAATTCACACCCGTAGCTGTCCTTCAGAAGGCAAATTCTGCAAGCAGTGCCTCGAAACACCATATTGAGAGAACTCTCTGCCACTCGTCTTGGCAGATGCAAAGAGTTTTGCCACCGCTGACTCAGGAGTATCATTTTCCTGTATCATACACAAGCAAAAGATCACCAGGTATAGCAGGGATAGGCATCTCTTGAGAAATTGTACTATGGCATTATATGATTAAGAACCACAAACAACCAAGGAGGCTTGATGTATAAAGTCTAATCATGACATTCATGAATCTGCCCAAATCACTAAAAGAAGTTATGAAAACCATATAAATCATTAATTTAAAACTCTGAGTAATGTAAATACTTTCGAGGCCCCATGATACACCATTGAAAGGGGAAAATTTTTTCTTATTTGAAACAAGCAAGGAAGAGGAGATCTCAGGTCCACTACCATGTCTACCAGATATCTTAAATCAATAGAAGGGAGCATCAAAAGAATGGTCTTCTAATCACGCAAGGAAGAACAAGATTTAACAGTCATGTTACGTGGCAATCATAAGCCACTCCACAAAGACGTGATTCTGCAATATACAGAAATAAATATGTGCATATCATGATAAAAACACTGCAAGGAAGCCGATATAAATGGTAGGGATTTTTCCTTGGCCAGATAAGGTAGGGATTTAAAATATGCATCCATGAAACAGCACATTAAAATAAAAATTGATCATGGTTGCAATTAATCTCATGCACAATGCAGTCCTCAATAGTATTTTAGTCAATCCTGGAAAGGATGACAGATTCAATTGAAAATAACAAGGCAAGGATGTGAAAAAGAATTTCAAGCCGACAGATTAGAGATGTATCTCACTTTTAGCATGGCGTCTGTACCAAAAGGAGAACGTAGTTTCCCATAATGCTGACAAGCTATTTTAAGCAAGGAGAAAAGCAGTCTCAGCCTTTCACCTTTCTTGAAATCCATGTCAGGCGATTCACAGTTTGCAATCCTCTCATCTATCCATTTGTACAGTTCTTTACTTCCAACGCTTCCCCCAACCAACGGACCTGGGAAAGATTGCTGGCACAGGACACGGAAATAATCACCAGCAACATTACCGATGCTGGTAGAACCAGTGTTTACCATGACAACATCCATCAAGTTCGACACAGAAATAGAACCTTGTGCAGTATCCTTCAGATTAGAAAGAATACACAGCGTTATTCCTCTGAGAAATCACTGCTAGAAAAAGAGATGGGAAAAAATACACTTTCAAACACAAAAAATACAAGAGGCAACCTCCAAGTCTCTCAGATATCAAAGGAAGTATAGAATGAACACAGAGATACAGAACAGAGGGATTCAAAATTAACCTGTCTTCCGTATGATGAGCTCAAAAAACTAGAATCTTTCATGACAACGAGTTTTCCACCAAATCCAAATGTTACAAGAGCATGAGGAGGTCGTCCAGCGGATGATCTTCCCGCATGAGGGGCATGAGAAAAGTGATGCCCTCCCTGGTATGACTGCCGAGAATAGCTAGTGGGCATCTGACTTTCAGCATAATGATCTGAATAATCTTTTTGCTCATCAAACTTTGTATTTGGATGATTGAACTGCTGAACAATATCTGTATTCGGGACAAAGCTCTGGAGTTCAACAGTTCCATTAGACAAACCACGACTATGGGTTACATTCTTGTTCAGTGAAACCGATCTCAAGGAGCTAGAAGTATTTAATTGATTGTTCTCTACCGAATAACTTGAACAGTAAGTATGACTGAATCGCTGATTTCCAACCGTACTCATACTATCCCCACTTTTACTAGAAGTTTCAGTCGTATACGTGCCCAGACCTTGCTGACCATTGATACCATACGAACCACTCCAGCTGCCCCCTGCCGCCTGGCTACCAACACCCTGTGATTCGTAAGCGCCAGCTTGTTGATGCTCACCATAGAAACTATTAGTATCATGTGACCACGTAATGGTAGAGGAATGCCCATTTTCAAGTCCACAAGAAGTAGATTGGATGGAATTGTAGGTCTCCAACAAGCGCCATTCTTGGGCAGTTGTGTCATAATACCAACCAGGATACTGAGGATCAAAGACCATATGTTCTGGGTATCCGTTAGTCCCTTGCGAACCCTGACCCCAGGTGGAGACACTTTCTGTTGAGCCCGTTTCAGCTGCGGTTCCAGCAACCGACTGAGCCGTTTGCTGCATGTAACAAACCTCTGCTGTTCCATTAGATGCAGCAGTCCAGTTTACAGCAGAATTGGCTTCAATACTTCCCTCATTAGCGGACGTTGTTGCATCATAGCCATCCACTTGATACCATTGCCCGGTGTTGTAATCATACTTCCAACCTGGATAAAAATCTTCCCAGTACTGGCTGCTACTTTGATCATGCCCATTTGCATTTTGTTCCATAGATGCATTACAACCTTGGCCGTCCTCATATTGCATATGATTGAATGAAGCATTTATGCCATCACTTTGAGCTTCAAAACCATGTTTCACCTCAGTATTTAAATTTTCATCTGCTTTCCCTGGAAAATCTCCAGATTTATCTCCCAATTCCTTAAAAAAGTCAGAGTCCAAACCAAACACGTTACCTTCATTCGAATCACCGTGAAATGAATTCCATCCTACCTCCTTAACCTCTGAACTGATGATTTCGTTGCTGTTATTTACATTTGAAGGCGATGTGCATTGTGATCCCATCTCATCGTTACTGGGGGAGATCCTACTATCGCACCGAACTGAACTAGACGACACCGATGAATTTTTCTCCTCTGCATGGGCACCAACCAATACCTCATCCAATTTCGCACTGCCATGTTCACCTTTGGCACCAAGCTCACTTTCCTTAGCGTTCGAATTCTCCAATGCCTCATCAGCATCACTAGTACTCATATTTGCAAATACTTTCACGTCATCGGAAGCATACCCATCATTCTGAACAGACTTAACAGGCTCCACTTCGTCCTCCACCAATTTATCAAAGAAATCCTCATCGGTCTGATCCTCCACATGCAATGGAGGATTTGAAGCCATCACCAAAACCCTGATCCTTCACGAGTCCTCCTGATCGCACCGAAGGTTCAAACCAATTTGCTGGTGGAGGAGAAAATTAAGCTTGGACAACCTCCAATTTATGAAATTCCTGCAAAATCCAGCCAGACGAAAAGCACAAAGTGCAAACTTGTGCCTCAATTCAACGCAGACAGTTCGGCCAGAAAGCAGAAATTCCATGAAAAACAAATTAACTTACAGATCCATGGAATGATGAGCAGACAATGTGAGAGAGAAGGAGAGAGTATAGGAAGGCCCCCCATTTTGCACCACTCCACCCACCAATTTCCCATTTTCTAGTTATTTTATTATTTTTACTTTCCTATTTATATTTTACAGCCAGATTTATGAGAGTTGAGAAATGCTGGTCCTCGTAGCATGTAGTTGTACTAGACATCCACCTATGATCCTTGGTGCCACCGCCAAAAGTTTGAGACTTGAGAATCAGGGACTCATTTTCCGCCCTTACCTGCAAGGAATAATGGAAAAAATTTCCGTAATGTTGGGAGTCACAGCCGGTTTAGCTGACCGGGTTAAAATACGGAGAGAATTATAATGAGGTCCCAGATAAGAAAAAAAAATTAAAAAACAAGTCTCAGATGTCATTATTCTCACTATAAAACTTATCATTATAAGCTGTTGAGGTTGTTACTGGGACCTTTTGATAAATTATTTCTCTTTTATAGAAATTAATTGTAATCCCCCATATACAAATCTACTAAGATATTTCGACATGGTCACATGACATCCTAAATTTTCATTAGTGCAAAAAATATAGATGAAGTTTTTAGAATGATACAAAAATATCACAATAAAAATGCAAATGATGTTTTCAAAATGGTGAAAAACTGTCACAACCATTAAATCAAGCAACGTTGTCCTTTTAACAAACAATCCTTGAATCATTGCATAGCATTTTCGCTCCGAACGACTCCGTCGCTCCGTTTCTCAATATTATCGAAAAATTTAGACATGTTGATTTTTGTGGCGACGAGCGGGAATCATCCTAGTCACCCTCCTCTTCATCTCTTTCCCTCACATGACTAATTTATAATAGCAATGCCTTCAATTTGTGACTCATTAGCTCCAAGGCATGGCCATCCACGCGCAAAAAATTGAAAAAATACATATATATATATATATATATATATATATAGTGGGTGAGTATAATATTTTCTTCACTAATATTTTTGTTAAACGGTCCATGTCAGGTGCTCATGGAATACTTTATGGATTGATTTGCACCTTATCCCAAGAAATGAAACGTAATGTAATGTCGTGTACAATAGAATATAAAGTAGTAACCATTATAATAAGTTTGCTTTGGTCGGCAAAATTCAAAAACTAAACTCAATTTCATAAATGAGACAAATTCAAAGGGTACAAGCTTTTATTTTTCACAATTTCGTACACTAATCTGTTGTCCTCGATCTGTTGAGGCCATATTCTTTCCCCGAGGGACATAGTGTAATTTTAATAAAATGAACAAATGAACTGCACTACTCTCCTAGGCAGACCCTCTATCCCTCCCTTTCTGTAAAACACTGGTTCCTTGAGCGTGAGATGGCGGCCCAACTCCCTTGGCATGTAAAATTAAAAATCTAATATCAAGTGAGCCAACCACAAACATTTCCATTCAGGAGTTGAGAACCCAAAAAATTTGACAATATATTTTTTAAAAAATGACAAGGGGAGGAAGGGCAGCGGAAAAAAAGAAAAAAAGACGGCTGCTTCTTCATGAACTCCACTTGATGTATCCCACGATTCTTATAAGCAGCAGTGTCTCAACTATTCTGTTGATTAAAGCAAAATTTGATATTTACAGCTGTATTATCTGTTTAAAGTTGAACCTCATGGAGATCTTCACCAAAGCTCCCACTATGGCGCACTGAAGGCTCATCTGGCATGAAGCTTGATGGCATCGTCCCCAAAGCTTCCCCTAGAGGCCTAATTTCACCAGCCTTTGGAGGGCTAAATGAACCAGCAAAACTTCCACCACCCCACGAGGCTGTTCGCCGCGAATGAGGGGCTTGAGAATCAGTGCCATTTGGCGCTGCTAAATTGTTTGGGATGTTATTCAAGCTAGGAAACCTCTGCATACCCCTTGACGATGGATCATTGGGGGATTTGAATGAATCATGCGTGACAGATGTTGATGGATCATTATTAGCTGCACTATCTTCTTGATAGCTTTCTGCTGCAGACTCCATTGTCTGCTCATTTGATGAAGGTGCTGGCGCAGGAATGAAAAATTTTGCATTGGTAGGAAGAGCAGGCTTGACAGACGGAACAGGAGGAGACTGAAACAAATTTGCAGAGGTCCCCCCACCTTGGTTGAAGGTATCAACATACCTGCATAGGCCGTAAGCAGTTTCATCAAGTTTATTTCCCTTTTCAATGCTGTCCAAGAGTAACAAATTATCGAAAAGAAACCCTTCACTCGTTTTTGGAAAATGAGCAGGCTACACAGAAGAGCCAGCACCTAAATACTTGTGCATTTTAGTTAAATATAACTTTCTCAGACCGGGTAAAACAAACTACATCTTAAGAAGCAATTATGATAACTTCATCTTTTTAAGTGCTATAATTTTTATAATTTCTCAAGATTCTCCAATTTCACGTTCTTCAAATATAATAGAATAACCAACAAGAATTCAGCAAACAAGATGTTGGCCAAAAAAGAATAGGCAAACAATATAGACCAATCACAACAAAGCTGTTCCTAGCTGCCGACTACAACATGATCATAAGAAGATTAGAACCGTTACCTTGAACGAACACCCATGCGTCCACGAGCAGAAAATTGATTTGAGCTAGGTGGCATGGGTGGGATCCCTGGAGTATGTCCAGGAGTGGAATTTCTTAAATCAGAACCCTCATTAGAGGGCGATCCTTCTGTTTTCAGTGCAGATTTTAAGTCATATTCAGTTTTAGGATTCTGGAAAGCAGCAGCTGTTGGAGGTGGTGGCAGTGCCGCTTCTTCAGCTGGAGGTTCAGCACCCTCCTCTACCCATCTCTTTAGCTTTTCATCATAATGAAATTTGTTCTCCTCACCCAGTTTAGCCTTCATATAGTCCGACAGAATAAGAAACATTTAAATATGTGCTGCAAAGCATTATTGAAAAGATAAAGATTCAACATGTAAAAACATGCCATGCATAAAATGATACCTGCCGACCAGAGCGTGGTTTCAGGAGCCCCACTGTCTTCTGGAAGAGCTGAGAGCCAAAACTAAAACGAGAAAAGCGAGATGTACCCCCCCCTGAAACTGATGTTTTGCTTGCATCAGCTGAGGCTGCTTCCTGTGATGAATTGAAATGATTTTTTCATCAAGTTCAAACTTCAAATACATAAATGAAAGGCAATCTAACACAATCTAGAGCAAAGAAAAAAACCCTCAGACTAAACCTTAAAGAATTAATCACACCTGTCTAGGCCTCCTACCAAAGTCTGGTTCTGAAACGCTTCTATTAGGCTTAATCATTTTATTACCATCAGCTGTCCACTCACTTATTGGCTCCATTGAAGCAGATGGAACTAATGATGACATGGCCATTGTTGATTGGCTATTGAATACTCTTGGCGCCATATGCTGGTGATGTTGTTCACTTCCGAGAACACTTCCATGTGATAAAGTTGGAGCAAGTGGTGGTGGACCACCAACAACCTTATGTGCAGTACTATCAAAAAAGTTTAACAATTTGCCCACTAATTTCGCAGGAGCCAAGTTTGCAGCATATCCACCCTGTAATTTTATTCTCAGGTTAAAAAGAAACAAGGCTGTCCAGTAACCAAATGACGAAAATTCTATAAAGGGCAAGAAATTACTTGCTGGTGGGTTCTAAGCCTCTCCTCAAGAGATAATACCAATTGTTTCCAATTCTCTACTTCCGGTGCGCGGCTAAATTTTAGGGATTTCAATACTGCCTGGCAATATCTGAAGTAACATGCACATGAGAAGACAGAATATGCAAAACACAACATCACATTATGTTTTATGAACTTACTTTAAAGAGTCTGAAACTTTCCCCACTTCAGCTAGCATGTATGCATATATGAACTTATACGGCTGAAATGGAACTAAAATAAACTGAGAGTTTCCCAGCACCTTTGAATATTCATATAACTCGGTCCTCTGTGAAAGTAACCATCAGGAAAGATAAATTAGAATGTTCCAGAAGCATAAATTGAATCATAATGAACATTATATTTTTTTGGGAAAGCCAGATATACCGAGGTGACACAAGTGAGCCACCACTAAGATTATTTTAATAACATATAGAAGGTTGATAGAAAAAAATCTATCACATTGATTTGAAGATAAAACAAGGGTTACAAGTGTGCAAGTCTATTCAGGAGATGCAAATGTTTTTTTCTAAGGCAAGAATTTAAATAAAAATTATGGAAGAGCCTAGCTGGGACCTCAATCGCAAAAATATTGAAGTAATTGATAGATGAACTTGAATGTGAGTTGGGGGGGAGGGGGCCATAAACATATGGAAATTAGCATACATAACATGCCCAACTTCAAACCGTGCACATCCAACGGAAAATCCATTTTTTTGTGGGCGTCAATAAAAGAAGTTCAATAAACCTGGATGGCCTCTGGACTAGCATAAGTTCGGGGAAATTTCCAGTGATCTGCTCCAACCAAACACAACCTTGCACTGTCTGAGTATGACTCAAAGTTGGCTTCAGCAACTAAGTAGCAGATGTGCGCAGCAATAATCTAAGATATGAGTCTCAAATCAGAAGCAGAATTTAAAAAAAAAAATAACAATAACAGTTTTAGAAATAAAGCAAGTGTACATTTAAGCAGAAAAAGAACATGATTGAGAACACTTATACCTCACTTCTTTCCCTCCACAGGCAGTCACCAAGATGAACAATTACAAGTTCATCATCTTTTGTTCTGTTTGCAGTTATTACAGCCAGATTCTCCTCCCAATCATCAAGCATACCATTAGATCCAACCTGAAATTTTGAGGCAAAAGGCAAAAGTATAAGCTTTTGTAGCCAATTAAAACAAGAATCTTCGCAATTATCAAACCAAAAGAGTAAGAATACATCATGATTGCATAATAGCCATCCCATGGCTTGAAATATTATTCTATTTAGATCACCTGTGCAGGATGCTGAGATACATTAGCAACACCAAGACGCCCGCTAACAGAGGTGTCACCAGAGAAAACTTCAGCTGGTTGCCCCGCAATTAGAAGGCATAATGTACGCAGCGGAGACCCTGCAACCAGTTGGCAAAGTGCCATTTGCTTCACCGTATCAACATAGAACTGCATTGCAAAGACGCAGCCATGTTTACACCCCAAATCATGGCAGGGTTAAGAAAAGACTGTAAGACATACTAAGAAATTGTCTAGGTAATATATTTCAGCACCAGTAGCAGTTTTCAACACTCTAAAAATAGACAGCTGACCTGATCACCAAGTTGTGAGGCAAGAACAATAGCAGGTCCCCACAATTGACCTTCCTGTGCACACTGTAATGCCTCCTTCTTTTTGCCAGAGACAAGAAGATTTTGCACCTCAGAAGCCGTTGCCTTTGTCAAAAATCCAAACCAGTTAAAACAAGCTGACTTAAAATCTAAGAGGAAGGAAAAGCTCAGGAGTTGACATAATTCACACCCGTAGTTGTCCTTCAGAAGGAAAATTCTGCAAGCAGTGGCTCAGCACACCATATTGAGAGAACTCTGTGCCACTCGTCTTGGCAGATGCAAAGAGTTTTGCCAACGCTGACTCCGGAGTATCATTTTCCTGTTCATACACAACCAAAAGGTCACCAGGTATAGCAGGCAGAGGCATCTCTTGAGTAATTGTTTTCTGCCAGAATATGATTAAGAACCACAAACAACCAAGGAGGCTTGATAGATAAAGTCAAATCACTTAAAAACAAAAAAGTTAAACCATATAAATCATTAATTCAAAACTCTGCAGTGGGTTTACTTCGTGGCCTTATAATGCACCATTGAAAGGGAAAAAAATTTCTTATTTGAAGCAAACAAGGAAGAGGAGATCTCAGGTCCGCTACCATGTCTACCGGATATCTTAAATCAATAGAAGTGAGCCTCAAAATTATGGTCTTCTAATCCAGTAAGGAAGAACAAGATATAACAGTCATGTTACGCAGCAATCATAGGCCACTCCACAAAGACGTGATTCTGAAATATACAGAAACAAATGTGTGCATATCATCCACGATATCATGATAAAAACACTGCACGGTAGCCCATAGAGATGGTAGGGATTTTTCCTTGGGTAGGGATTTAAAATATGCATTCATGAAACATGCCATTACAATAAAAATTGAACATGGGTGCAATCGATCTCATGCATAATGCAGTCCTCAATAATATTTTAGTCAATCCTGGAAAGGATGACAGATTCAAATGAAAATAACAAGGCAAGGATGTGAAAAAGAATTTGAAGCCGACAGATTAGAGATGTATCTTACTTTTAGTATAGCGTCTGTACCAAAAGGAGAACGTAGTTTCCCATAATGCTGACAAGCTATTTTAAGCAAGGAGAAGAGCAGTCTCAGCCTTTCACCTTTCTTGAAATCCATGTCAGGCGATTCACAGTGTGCAATCCTCTCATCTATCCATTTGTACAGTTCTTTACTTCCAACGCTTCCCCCAGCTAATGGACCTGGGAAAGATTGCTGGCACAGGGCACGGAAATAATCACCAGCAACATTACCGATGCTGGTAGAACCAGTGTTTCCCATGACAACATCCATCAAGTTCAACACAGAAATAGAGCCTTGTGCAGTATCCTTCAGATTAGAAAGAATACAGAGTGTTATTCCTCTAAGAAATCACTGCTAGAAAAAAAGATGGAAAAAAAATACACTTTGAAGCACCTCGACGTCTCTCAGTATCAAATGAAGTATATAATGAACTAAGATACAGAACAGAGGGATTCAAAATTAACCTGGCTTCCGTATGATGAGCTCAAAAAACTAGAATCTTTCATTACAATGAGTTTTCCACCAAATCCAAATGTTACAAGAGCATGAGGAGGACGTCCAGCGGATGGTGTTCCAACATGAGGGGCATGAGAAAAGTGATGCCCACCCTGGTATGACTGCTGAGAATAAGTAGGGGGCATCTGACTTTCAGCATAATGATCTGAATAATCTTTTTGCTCATCAAACTTTGTATTTGGATGATTGAACTGCTGAACAATATCTGTATTTGGGACAAAGCTCTGGAGTTCAACAGTTCCATTAGACAAACCACGACTATGGGTTACATTCTTGTTCAATGAAACTGATCTCAAGGAACTAGAAGTATTTAATTGATTGTTCTCTGTCGAATAAATTGAACTGTAAGCATGACTCAATTGCTGATTTCCAATTATACTCATACTATTCCCACTTTTACTGGCAGTCTCAGTCGTATACGTGCCTAGACCTTGCTGACCATTGATACCATACGAACCACCCCAGCTGCCACCGGCAGCCTGGCTACCAAACCCTGTGACTCGTAAGCACTCGCTTGTTGCTGCTCTCCATAGAAACTACTATTATCATGTGACCAGGTACTGGTCGAGGAATGCCCATTTTCAAGTCCACAAGAAGTAGATTGGATGGGTGAATTGTAGGTCTCCAACAAGCGCCATTCTTGGGCGATTGTGTCATAATACCAACCAGGATACTGAGGGTCAAAGATCATATGTTCTGGGTATCCATTAGTCCCTTGTGAAACCTGACCCCAGGTGGAGACACTCTCTGTTGAGCCAGTTTCAGCTGAAGTTCCAGCAACTGATTGAGCAGATTGCTGCATGTAAGAAACCTCTGCTGTTCCATTAGATTCAGCAGTCCAGTTCACAGCAGAACTGGCTTCAACACTTCCCTCATTAGCGGATGACGTAGCATTATAGCCATCCACTTGATACCACTGCCCGGTGTTGTGATCATACCTCCAACCTGGATAAAGATCTTCCCAGCATTGACTGCTACTTTGATCATGCCCACTTGTATTTTGTTCCATAGATGCATTATAACCTTGGCCGTCTTCATATTGCATGTGATTGAATGAAGTATTTACGCCATCACTTTGAGCTTCAAAACCATGTTTCACCTCGGTATTTAAATTTTTCTCTGCTTTCCCCGGTAAGTCTCCAGATTTAACTCCCAATTCATTAAAAAAGTCAGAGTCCAAACCAAACACGTTACCTCCATTCGAATCAGCGTGAAATGAATTCCATCCTATCTCCTTAACCTCTGAACTGATGATTCCGTTGCTGTTATTTACATTTGAAGGCGATGTGTATTGTGATCCCATCTCATCGTTACTGGTGGAGATCCTGCTATCAGACATAACTGAACTAGAGGATACCGATGAATTTTTCTCTTCGGAATGGGCACCTACCAATCCCTCATCCAATTTCGCACTGCCATGTTCACCTGTGACACCAAGCCCACCTTCCTTGGCGTCCGAATTCTCTAATGCCGCATCAGCATCACTGATACTCATATTTGCAAATAATTTCGCATCATCGGAAACATACCCATCATTTTGGCCAGGCTTAACAGGCTCCACTTCGTCCTCCACCAATTTATCAAAGAAATCCTCATCGGTCTGATCCTCCACATGAAATGGAGGATTTGAAGCCATCGCCAAAACCCTAATCCTTCACGAGTCCTTCAGATCGCACCGAAGGTTCAAACCAATTCGCCGGGTAGGAGAAAAATAAGTTCGTATAACCTCTAATTCCACGTGTGAAATTTTCAACGTCGAAATTTGGAGCTAAATGTCAACGAAAACTCGAGATCCAGAGAGAACAAATATCCTAGACGCTGCCCCTTAGGACCTAAATGAAGTAAAGGATACAGAAACCAAAATAAAAAGGAGGATCTGGGATTTATGAAATTCCTGCAATCCAAGAGCCAGAAATCCAGCCAGACAGAAACCACAAAGTGCAAACTTGTGCCTCAAATCAACACAGACAGTTCGGCCAGAAAGCAGAAATTCCAAGAAAAAAACAAATTAACTTACAGATCCATTGAGGGATGAGCAGACAATGAGAGAGAGAAGGAGATAGTATGGGAAAGCCCCCGATTTCGCACCACCCCACCCACCACCAACAGCGTCTTAAGTTTTTCAATTTTAGATTTTTGATTGCAATCTGTTTTCCTCATTTTCTTCTTTATTATATTTTCTACTTTCCTATTTATATTTTACCGCCAGATTTTATGTGAGTTGAGAGATCCGGGTCCGCGTAGCATGTACTGTACATCGATGTCTGATCCTGCCTTGGAGCCACCGCCAAAAGTTGAGAATCAGGACCTCCTTTACCACCCTCACCTGCAAAGAATAATAACCAATTTCTGTATTTTATATATGAAGTTATTAGGGCTCTAATGGTTAATGTTATAGTCATTATATAAATAAATATTATTATTTTAAAATATTTTTATTAATTATATATATTTATTATATATAATTATTATGACAATTATTTTTAAAAAATAAATAAATATAACAAATAAAATATATTTAAGTTTTATATTTAGAACCAAAATAAATTTCTAATTAATTCTTATATTATATTTTAGTATAGAGCTAGTAATAATAATTACAGTAAGTTTGTTTTGGGATTATTTTGGGGCATTGAAGGAATAATTATGTTTATATTCATTTTAATTGTCATAAAAAATGAAAATCTAAGGGACAAATCTAGTTTCTATTTTCAAAGTGGTTTTTTATTCTTAAAAACAAAAAAAAAATCGCAAACAAAAGAACTTTGAAAATAGAAAAATTATAAGTAAGGACTCATTGCAATATTAATATTGGTTTTGATAACAAATGATAAATAAATAATAATAATTTTTATGAAAGGATTTTTGTATGTAATTTTTCAATTTTCAAGATTTTTTTTACAATTTTTCCAACAAAAATAAAATTTGTTATGAGAAACAAAAAAAAGTCACAACACCTTTTTATTTGCTAAGGTGCAAGTATTCTAATATTAGAAACAATTTTATTTGAGACATTGTCGGGCACTAAATATAGACACTTCTCTAGCAATAATTCAAATCTTAGTTTGTCATATTATGAGGGGCTTGCCTTTTTATTAGATCAAACTCCGTTAGTAATCGCAACATTTTTTTAATGTTTTGTAGTCTCTTGTTCTCCAAAATTAGAAAACATTGTATCTTCGTTAATGACGATCATGCTAATAAAAGATAAAGTAACTTCGATTGTAAATTATCTTGATTATCAAAGAGCACTTATAGACGTCAAGTGCAAGACTTAGTTGAACTCTTATTACTATGATCAGTTTTTATTGACAAAATCATATCAATCCTAGTTAATTACTATTTATTATTAATAAATATGGTTAAAGTATATATTTAGTTCTTTAATTTTATATAAGATTTTCAATTTGATCCTTAACTTTAAAAGTATAACTTTTCTCCTTTAACCCTAAAATTTTTTTAAAAAGTGATGACATTAAATCTTAAATATTAATAAAATATTCTCAAATACTAACATATTAATTTAATTTTCAAAACATCCATATTATTACAAAAAATCATCATTAAAACCTAATGATTTTAGGGCTAAAGGACAAATGTATACTTTTTAAAGTTAATGAACCAAATTGAAACCTTGTACAAAGTTAAAGACCAAATGTATACTTTAGCCAATAAATATTATAGTTAGGCCAAAAAAAAGTATTATGAATCATCTCGAATTTTATATAAAACACAACAATTAGGCCTCATCATGTAAGTTAGGACAAAACTTTCTCACATATTTTTTTCGTATTTATAAATCACGATAAAATAACTGCTTATAAGTTATTCCAAGCAAATCCTTAGTCCTTCAAAAAAAACATAGGAGAAGAAAAATCCTAAAATGTGTAATTAGATATGTGACATTAATATTAATAAGGTTGAATCTAAAGAAAAAGATTAATCTCACATTTTGAGGGGGAGATATACTAACATTTAGTATAGAATAGTGTCTTGAACAATTATCCAATAGAAGAATAACTGAATAAGCATGTTTAATAGTAAAATAAGAAATGTCACATTAATAATTAATAGATTAAATAATAATAATTTAAGTAATAAATTGATGATAAGGCTTAAATTCTTGTTGTGGGTCATAATAATTCCATTTAGATTTATTGATTATTTGCAGTGGGAATTAGAACTTGGCGAGGGCTCTTTATTTTCCGAAAAAATTAGGTGGGCATGTGCTATCAAGAAAATAGAACTTAGGTGGGCGCACACTAGAGGACCGCTTGTTCAATCTTAAAAATAAATTTAATTTAAAAAACTCTAAAACAAAAAGTATTTATGAAAAGTGATTTTTTTTTTAAATTTCACAAAAGAAGGTATTTTTGTATTTAATTAGTATTTATTAATTTTTATATTTTATGACAATTTTGTATATCGCATAGTTTCATAATAATTTCCTCTTATTTACTGCATTTGATTCTTTTTAGGAATTATTTAAAATAATTTATCAGCTTAATTATAATCTGTATTTTAAAATTCAGGAAAAAAGTGATTTATTAATTACATGCTCCTGTCTGAGTACTCAATAGTCAATATCAAAATATTGAGTAGATCCAAGCGAAGCTAAGTTGGCCATTTTGCTTTGATTGTGGAATTATTGGACACCTCATCACCGTCTCATTTTGTGGTCCCTCCTGTCCCATTATTTTCTCGGATTCTACCCATCCACTCCTTCGATATCATTTATAGGATAAAAAAGAACTCTCTGTCTCTCTCTTCTTCTTTTTTTTTTTTGTCTTTAATACGCTGCTTCTGTTTTACCAAAAGAAAATATATACTCTTTCTCTTATATTTATATCTTACTTTCAAGATGTTTTATTATAATCATGAAAAATATTAACTCTGTCTTAAAAATTGATAATTTTTTAATTTTACTCTTTTTAATATATATATATCTTATTAGTATAAATTCTACATAATAATACATAACAAATAAAATTATATATTTGTATAAAAAAATTTAATGATATGATTTATAAAAAGAAGAAAAAATCTTTCTATTTAAATGGAATGAGAGTTGTAAGTCACATGATAAGATTTAGTATATGTATATATAATTTTATACTTAATATATTTATTATTTTGTAAACTATTATTTTCTTCAAAAATATATAGAAGTAAAAAAAATTGAAAATTTATTATATTTTAATATAAAGTTAATAAAATTTAGGGAAAATTGCAAATAAAGACCCCTCAATATATAAAATAGCAATCAGGGACCCTGAATTTGAAAAATTGCTCACAAGGACCCGGTCCCAATTTGCAATTATGAAATCATGGCCAAATTACCAAAATACCCCTCTTTAATTTTTTTTCAAAAAAGAACACCCTGCCTCGCCATCCGGCGGCCGGAGCTCCGATGCCGGCGGCCGGATTCCGGCGGCCTTCCTTATTTTTTTTTTTTGAAACTGTTTTTTTTTTTAAAATTGGGGGGAAGTGAGGTTGGGGGATTTGATCCCCCAACTTCATGCTTCCCAAAATTAGGAATGACCATTGAGCCAACAAATTTTTGCTAACATTATAATACAAAAAAAATATAAGTTAACTCTACTATTGTTCCAGGTGATAATAAGAATACATTTGAAAATAACAAGTTCTGATTATAAAATAACAAGTCTGGGATTAAAATTTAACAACACATTTTTTTTTATAACAACACGCTCTGTTGCAGTTGATAACAACAATACATTTGAAAATAACAAGTTCTGATTATAAAATAACAAGTCTAGGATTAAAATTTAACAACACGTTTTTTTATAACAACACACTCTGTTTCAGGTGATAACAACAATACATTTGGAAATAACAAGTTCTGATTATAAAATAACAAGTCTGGGATTAAAATTTAACAACACGTTTTTTTTTTATAACAACACACTCTGTTGCAGGTGATAACAACAATACATTTGAAAATAACAAGTTTTGATTATAAAATAACAAGTCTGGGATTAAAATTTAACAACACGTTTTTTTTATAACAACACACTCTTTTTCAGGTGATAACAACAATACATTTGGAAATAACAGGTTCTGATTATAAAATAATAAGTCTGGAATTAAAATTTAAGAGCACCCTTTTTTTTATATAACAACACATTTTATTCAAGTGATAACAACAATACATTTGAAAATAACAAGTTCTGATTATAAATAAGAAATATAAAATTAAAATTTAACAATACATTTTTTTATAACAATTAATCATTTTATACTTTTGAAAAATAAATTATTTATAACTTATAAAAAGTATTTTAAATCTATTTAATTTGCTAAAAAAATAATTTTTATCTCCAATTTATAATCAAAACTTGAAGTGTAATTTATTATAGATTAAAAATACTTTTTTTGTTCAAATTTATAAATAAAATTTAGAGAAAATGACAACACAATTTTTTATTTTTTTTTAAAAAATTTTTAATCTATATATCTACACAACTCATTATAAATCAAACTACTTCTTATAAATTATAAATAGTATAATTTATTGTAGATTAAAAATACTTTTGATTGCTTAAATTTATAAATCAAATTTATCTCTAATTTATAATTAAAAATAATTTTTTTTAATATTAAATTTATTATTAAGTATTTAAATATTATAGTATAATTTATTGTAGATTAAAAATACTTTTTGATGCTTAAATTTATAAATGAAATTATCTCTAATTTATAATTAAAAATACTTTTTTTAAATATTAAAATTTATTATTAAGTATTTAAATATTATAGTATAATTTATTGTAGATTAAAATACTTTTTGATTCTCAAATTATAAATGAAATTTATCTCTAATTTATAATTAAAAATACTATTTTTTTCTTTAAATATAAAAAATATTTTTAATATTTAAAGAATGAAATAATAAATTTATACTATAATATTTTATTTAAAACTTAATAATAAATTTTAATATTTAAAGAATGAAATAATATAAAAATATTATAATGAGTTGTAT